ATTAAAAGATAAATTTCGCGTGAAAAGTATAAATTTCGATTGAAATTAATTTATTTATTCAACTTTCGCAAAACACATGGAATTATTATTCTAAAAAAGTTCAATAACTAAATAATTAATTTTTACTAAATAATAAATTTACTTTAAAAAAAGTATTGGTGCCACATTGGAGGGTAAAGGATATGGTTATTGGTCTATTTAATTTTAGTTATTTGGCAAAGTCAAAACCAAGACCTTGGGATATTTTTTTTTTACATAAAAAAAAAAAAAAATCCTTTGTAACAATAGTGGACTTCAAGTTATTTCCAACATCTTCATCCATTCTATTAATTTACTGGCTAATCCAATTACAGCTGTTAATTTTACAAGATTTAATTTTAAAAAATTTATTCCAAAAAACTTAAAATAAATTAAGTTAAGGTAGTAAGTTTTGAATATTAACCTTAATTAATTTTAATTTTTAAAAAATGTATTAATTAATTAGTATTCAGAAATATTAAATAAAAATAATATAAATCTGAAAAAGAAATAATAATATCCCATCCACTCATTTTTATATACCTAACTTAATTTTTATCAAACATTGGTTGAGGAAGTCAATCGGCATTAACTATTTTATTGGCTTATGTATGGCGCTGCAATGTCGTTTTAGCGGCATAGAATGAAAACGGGAGGCGGGTAAGAGGAAACAGCGGGCGTGGAGTCAAAAGGGTATTTTGGGTAGTCGCAAAATGAAATTGATAGAGTAGGAATAATCGGTAGGTTGGCAGGGACGGAAACAGCAAGTTGGTAAGTTCATGTCAAAAAAAAAAAAAAAAGCAAGTTGGTCAAGAAAAAAAAAAAACTTGCTAAACTTTACAGGCAGCCAAAGCAAACCGCGTTCTCATCTCTTGTGACCGTTGTTTCCTTCCTCAGTTGCAAAAAAAAAAAAAAAAAAAGCAAGTTGGTAAGTTGCTAAACTTTACAGGCAGCAAAGCAAACCGCGTCTCATCTCTTGTGACCGTGTTTCCTTCCTAGTTGCCTTATAAATGGGCCCTCTCCGCCTTTCGGCTTCGTTTCCTTCCTTCTTTTTTAAACAGCAGCACAGATTGGAGAGGAGGAGAAGCTACCAAAGCTGTCTCCACCCTCGAATAATTCGTCAGGGCAAGCAGCTGTAGCCTGGCAACAATATCAAATTCATGTACTTACCACTCATTAGAGAGTGTCTGTAAGTACAAAGATGTAGTTTAACAATTTTATTCTTTGTGTTTATTATTTTGTTTTCTCATATTTATCACCATATATAGATTGTAGTAAATATGAGCAACATACTGTCCAATTAAATATCAAAATGGAAATTGTTATTGCTTTTTTATATGAACTTCAATACTTAGATGTATAAATCATTATAAATCTCGTATTATTGAATTTCCAATATTACTAATGTAAATTTAAAGATATTAAAATCTATCATGAATCGCGAAACATATAAAATTTATAAATTAATTAAATTTTAACATATTCATATGATAAATGAATTGATCCAATTGTAATACAATTTAAAACAAATTGTATTAATTAAGTCAGCAATATATTGGCAACTCGTACTCTAAGTGTATATAGGCTTATGTGTGAGTGGATATGTATATATTATATATATATATTGAGTTGAAAGGAGGGAGTGGCAGATTGTCTCCATGACTCCAATTTTTCTTTTCAATTTTTTGTTTCGTTATTACATATCATATCTATATTGATCGTAATCGTATCAACATATCAGATCAATCCAACATTTCGTTATTACATATAGTGTATATATTGCTCGTAATAATATCACATCACCTTATGTATCATATCAATTCAACGTTAATCGCATTTTTTTGTCGTGTTATCATATCATATCAATCCAACGTGAATCACATGTTTATTGTCAAGGATAACGTCTGGAAAATGGATGAAAAGCATTACAGTAAGTGTGAAAAAGGGAATACAGGAGGCGGATTCCTTTTGAAAATCACTAAATATATAAAAGCATCGAAATGAATGGAATATATATGTTCATGAAGACCGTAGACTAGACTGCATAATTACAATTTTGAACACATTTACTTGACAATGGAGCGCATTAAGGAATCACTGGAGAGCCGACGAAAAGGAAAATTTCACCAAAAGGTATTTTCTTCTTTGGTCTCATAATATCTACACATATGAAGATCAAGAAACCAATGCACAAGGGACCAAACAAAAAGGTTTATCAAAGGACCACTTTCTTTTTAATTTTCATAAATTAATATATTAAAATCTCATTGTATTTATCCTTATCCGATGTAAATTCAGATTAATTGAATCAATAAACTTTACGTCAAAAAAAATTATTACAATCCCAATTGACAAAAGATAAGAAACCAAACCTCAACATCAACTACTATAGCTGATTATAAAAGTGATTGAGCCACTCATCAACTCAAATTATGAATGTTTATATTTCTTTGTCCAACACATCAAAAAGATCAATCAATTAATTTAAATATTTCATATATATACGTCAATTTACAAGTGGATATAACAGTTATATAGCGACAACTCATTAGTGTATATTAATTTATATTTATGAATTAATAAAAAAAAATTATGTATATAAAAAGCATGTGTGATAATGCACAATAATATAATTAAAATTCCAGTCAATATATCGATATGTTATTTTAAATAAAATAATATTACGGGTGACTTATTATGTAAAAAGACCATATAATTAAATTAAATTATAAATATATACCACTTGCAAATAAATTTGTTGTTAAGTGAATGGATTTTTCAAGGATTTGACGGCAGAGGCATTGAAATTTTATACCCATATATATGGACGACGTCGAGAACAAGAACAGCACTGGCGGAATTAATATTATTATACTTAAAATGATGGTTAGGGTTACGAATGAAAGATAAGTTTACAATATTTTTCTTATAAAATTTGCACTTTTCTTTATCCCTTTTAATCTCTTTTGGTCCCCTCCCACGTAGCTTGGAAATTAACACTAATGTATTATAATTAATAATATAAAAAATATTTATAAGTTTTGATAATTATAATGACTATAATCACTAAGCACACTTCATCTTCCATGACATAAATATGGGTAATGACTTGCTTCATGCCAATACACATATGGATTTGCATTTGGTATAATTAGTTTAAGGAAAATAATTATTTCGTCCCTGAAGTTTGTCATAATTATTTAAGTAGTCCCTGACATTTATACAAATATTTATAGCATTTCTGAAGTTTACTTCCATTTTATTAATTGGTCTTTCCGTCCAAAAAACACATTTTTTACTGTTAATTCATAATAGAATGACCAAACTACCCTAAATCCTCTACTTAACATATTCTCCCTTTCAACTACTCTAAATCCTGTAAATTTACCCAAAATTTAGAAATTTTAATCTAAAATTTGGGTAAATTTTGAAATTTCTAATCTGCTTATTCAATTTTGAATTTAAATCAAACTGAGTGATTACTTAAAATTTAATTTATAATTTATGATTTAAAATTTATATGGGTATTTGTTAATGGTGGTGTCGAGTTTCAAGTGAACAAGATTAAGCTAAATGTGCTGTGTAAATTTTTGCTTTGCTATATTGATCTTCTTTTTGGCAGATTTTTGCATATGGTTGCTGTTTCTAAGATTAATTGCCGAGGTTATTGAGCAAGTAATACATTGGATGCAAAATACAAAGATTAAGTACACGAACATGTTTAATGCTCAAGTAGATGTTCATTCTGCTTTGAGCTCTATGAAACTTGTTTATACCAGTGAGTGAGTGAGTAGGAAAACAAATGAGTTAAAAGGGATGATTTATTAATTAGAAGATTTAGGGTAATTTGGTCATTCTATTAAAAATTAACAGTAAAAAAGTATATTTTTTAAACAGAAGGATCAAAAAATACGACGGAAGTCAACCTTAAGAATGTTATAAATATTTATATAAATATCATAAATTACTTAAATAATTATGACAAACCTCAGAAACGAAATAATAAAAACCTCTAAAGAATAATTGTCTTTTCCTTTCAAAATTAACGGAAAAAACATTTTTTGATCGAAATTACCAATTAATGAAATAGAAGTAAATCTCAAAAATGTTATAAATATTTATATAAATGTCGGAGACTACTTAAATAATTATAGCAAATTTGAGAGACGAAATAATTATTTTCCCTTAGTTTAATTAATTATATATGATGCTTGACTTAATGGTATAAGTTATAACCAGTTGAAGTAAATGATTGAATTCATTAATTATATTAATAATTATAGTTAAATAAATATCATTGTTCAAATACAACACATAAAACACAAACGAAATCCTTGTTTACTAAAATTCAAAAAAAAAAAAATTCTATTTGAAAAGTCATATTCCATTTCCAATTCAAGAGCCAACGTTGCACTACACTGTGCCAGACACTACATCAAGAACATCACCCACCATGGGAGGAATTTGCGTAGCAAATGAGGGTACCATAGAAAAGGACAATAGAGCAAGAAAAGAATTCACATGATATAAGGAGCATCAATCTGTGCCAAGCAAAGAAAATAAACATGAAGGCATAATATAATGAATTTAGGACAACAAGAATATTCAGGCAACAACAATATCGGAGAACAACGATCAATACTCCGATGCAAATCCAGAAAACGGAAAAGAGCAGGCAGAATAAACAATTGATAATACCTGTAAATTATTTCCATCGAATGACAATGGCCGAGAAACCATGTTCTGTTAATGCAAGAACATTAAATAAGCCAGCTCAACAAAACTGAACTATATAAAACCCCAAGAAAACATGGTCATAAAGCAATCACTGGTGCATGACACAACTGATAGGATGTCGCGTGACATGCTCTTCGAGCCCTATGAGACAACATATAGTTGATCTCCAATGAATAACTTGAAGTTGTTCAACAAACACCCTATTATACAACACAAACACAATGAAGCTAGAAGAAGCATTGTAATTGAGCTAACTAACACGTTACTACAGAAAACCCTTGCAATGTACATGAGAAGAGGAAATAAAAACAATGAAAAAACAAGGCGAGTACATATTCTCATCAGATGGTGTCTATCACAACAGGTGTGAAGTGTTAATCTTCAAGAAGGAAGCCGCTACTCTTCATACAGAAATACAAGAAAACTGAGGACTAATAAGCAAAGCTATAAACCATACTATACAAACCAGAAAAACGTGATTTGTACAACAAATCAAGAACAATACATAAGCAATCCCAAAACTTGATTCTCAAAGACAAAACAAAGAATACACGGGCCGCATTGGATCAGGCCTCCAAAGAGGGAGAAAAAAAGACCAAGACATCAAAACTCTTCCGGTTCCAGTGCATCTGCAACATTGCAGCAAATTCATAACTCATTGCTCCTAATAAACAATCAGGCCGAACTGAAATCCTTTAAGCTTTCAGGATGAATATCCTTAAAACACTGGGTTTTATAAATGTTACAATGACCTAAATACAGTGGGGACATCTACCCATCATTACAATGTATTATTGACACATGTCCAACTCTTCTAACACAGATATAACAAGAGAAATTACAAGTCATGACATGTGCGGAAGTCAGCCCTCAAAATTGGAACAAGGCTTATACAAAACCAGAAAATAGTCAAAATACAAAATGGAGGAGGCAATTACATGATATCAGCCTAATACATCTACGCATTTACATGAAATAGAAAAGATGGTTATACCACAAAACATATCACTGATTATCTATACTTTACATCTACAAGAACGTAAGTCTTTCTAGACATATTCTTGCAGGAGAATTATTTACAGTCTTATGTGGTGCCTGTGGAAAAAGGGTGTAGGCCAAACAGTCAAAAGCTTCTTTTGTAAACTTGGTAGATCAAAACCATTATGGAGGAAATCCAATGAAAGCAGCCCATCTAACAAATCTTCCTCCGGGCAACTAACACAGATAGATTCAATCATGAAAACAATGAGCTGCCCATTCCATTTCCTGGATTGATGATAAAAGAAAACCCCCAAGTCAATAGACATTAAAAAAATAGAATTGTCAAGCGCACCACCCCAGTCTACCTCAATCACCCAATATTCACAAAGAGCAGTATACAGCATACTCATATGGCAAATTGAACTCCCTAGTCCATCAATTTTGATCACACTATCCCACAGGCATTATACTTCTACACGACAGACTAATTTAATCATGCCTGCAGAGTGAGCATTATATTTCTACAAGACAGACTATAATTTAATCATGCCTGCATAATTCTCATATTCATAGATCAATTACTCAAAGCTACATATTAAACCATTACTTCTGTAAATGCATGCGCTAGACCCACGCAGAGATTAGCAAGGTCAATACTCGAACTATTAACGATTGCTTCACTACAGCACAAGTGCAACAACAAAATCAACCACACTAAACCTTATAGAAAGTAAAAGTATAGGTTATAGTAAGAAATGTCCTACATCCCAGAAGGATAATAAAATTCATGCACATAACCTATATCATTGTTTTAATTTCATTTTATGTATTCTGATTCAGCACCCCCAGAATCTTGCCTTGACTATACACAAACAAAATCTTTCTAGACAATTATATCGGAGGAAATAACAAGCACACATCAAATATTACAACCAAGAAAGGATTTTGTAGAGCAGCACACAACAATAACCTCCATTTTGACTATTCCAATGAGCATTGTTCATGACCATCAATTATGGCTCCACCATCCCCAATAACATTAGAGACTTCCATTTTCACCATTAGCATGACTAGATGACAAAAAAATACCACCTGAAGCATTCCCTAGTTGATGTAAATTGCACGATTCTACACAACAAATGACATATCCTGATTTCAGCTCATGCCAAAGACCAACATCATAACCAACAAATTGAACGACGATGACTATAACACCTGAAGAAACATTAGAGACTTTGATTTAATATCAAGCATGCCTAGACTATAAAATGTCACTTGAAGCATCCCTGATAAGAAAAAGTCGAGCAATCAACAATTCTTCTAACTTCCAGATTTTCTCAAATAGAAATGAGACTGGTTCAACGCAGGACCTGATATACCCATGTCTGCCCTGTCTTATTTCAGATTGGGCAGGTATGGATGTAAATTGGGATGAGAAGTATTGGGGATCACCTAGTTGTTTTTCTTTGTAAGTATAAATATTATACTTTTATCTAATATCTTCACAGATACTTTACTAAATATATAATGTAACTATTCTTCCCTTAAAAAACAAAGCAAATTATCAGAAAAGCATCAAAAGACACAACCACAGCCCAAACCATAAATATACAGCTTTGAATTATCAAGATAACCAACAAAACATACACCATTCATAGAAACCAGATTTGCAAAAAGACCAAATTCAGCATTCAAAAAAAGTTTTTTTTTTCTTTTAAAAAAAAATCCACCTCAAAAAAGTAATTCAGTAGAGTCAAATACAGCACAGCAATTATATATATAACTCTGCATTACTATAACATCTATTAGACTTTGATGCTTCCACCTAACAACTGAAAAACATAAGGACAGATGTAGATAACGTACTACCCATCATCTAGGACAATCATACAAGACATTATGATTTTAAATCTTTCAAAGTCACAAGCTCTCAAATAGACCGTTCAAGATAATTGCATACCAGTAGGATGGTCAGATGCAGGTATATAAGTTCATCCCCGCAAAAAAATATCCACATTGGTATGCAACTGCAAGTTGCAAATGTTTTTTCAGCACACAAATATTGAGTTTCATCTAAAGATGTTCTTTGGAATGCAGTAGAAAAGCAATACAGTATCTATTCCTCTCTATTATCCATACAAGTAGAACTTACTTCTTTCCTCAAGATGTCGTCCAATCCATTTGAGGTCAATGCAGCTAAACTCCAAGCAATGGAGCAGACATTATATCAGCACAATGGAGACAGGCCAAGAGAGCAAATATAAAGCGCTGGAACTTCGCAAACCTATCCAAGAAAGAATAACAGAAACATAGTGTCAGTCTGATGGTAGGCGTCTCCTCTTTCCATAATCTGCATCCCTTGATCGAGGCCTGTAATCTTCTTCAGGCACAGCTCGGGACCTGCTCCGAGATCTTGAAGAAGATTGCCCTCTATCCCAGTCATCCTCATAACCAGAGTCACGCTCTCTTCGCCGATGCTCTCTGTAACTATCTTTTTCTTCCCGGTATCTGTGCTCCCTGTGCTCTCTTTCTGACCTGTCCCAGTCATGTTCCCTCTCATCACGATGCCTCCTATCAGAGTTCCCAGACCAATCACGTTCAGGAGCCCGCTCCTTTTCCCTAGATGCAGCACTGGAACGTGTTCCCTTCTCATTATTCACCTCTCCATAGCCATATTCAGAAGCTCCATCATCACCACCATAGCTTGACTCCCTTGTTCTCCTGCCAGGCTCTTCTCCCCATCCACCCATGCTTGTATCAGACCACATTCCAGCATTTGGTCCATCCATTGCAGAGGGACCCATCATTCCCATACCATTAGGTGCCATTCCACGGCCAAAGAAGGCTGGGTTGACATGAGGAGCCACTCCCGCAAGTCCCATTGCATTAACTGCTGGAAATGATGGAAGCATGCCAGGAAAACCAGGGCCAGCAAAGCCTCCATAACCAGCCCCTCGGCCCATATAAGTTGGATCAAATCCACCTCCCATCATATTTTGTGGAGGCATCATACCAGCAACAGGTCCACCAAATGCAGGACCTGCCAGGCCTTGTCCAAAGCCTCCACCATTGGCACCATTTCCTACTCCAACACCACCTCCAACCATATTCTTGGCGCCCATAGTTCCTCCTCTTCCCCTCACTGGTCCTCCACCCACAGGACCTCTATTCATCATTCCCTGTCCACCTCGTCCCCACCCACCTCTTCCAAAGTTCCTCCCAGCGTCTCCACCTTGATAATTCATATTACCACCCCTTCCCACCCCATCATTCATAGGCCTCCTTGCTTGATTTTGTGTCTGAGGTTGGCCCTGGGTCTTGTTCATGTATGAAGCCCCCATCTGCTTTAATGTCTGTGGAGAAGCAAAGGCCACAACACAAGGTCGTCCATTGAAAACATGCCCATTCATTCCCTCTTTGCATGCAGCAGCAGCAGCTGCATCGTAAAATTCCACTTGGCAAAAGCCTTTAGATTTACCACTAGCTCTCTCATCAAAGAACTTGATCTCCTTCACCTTTCCATATTGAGATAAAACACTCTCAAGCTCTGCATCGGTTGTCCACCAGTGTAATTCCCCAACAAACAACACAGTTGAACCATTTTCTACTGGTGGCCGGATTTGATTTTCATTCATCCCAGGACGATTGACATCTATATTGATACTAATTTGATTACCTGGCAACTGTTGAATTCCTCTTGGACCACTGATGCTAGTATTTGGAACAGGTGCAGGCTCATTGGGAATTTTTCTACTCATGTCAGAAGGATCTACCACAACATTGGAGGGCACTGATGATGATCCTTGAAATCCTATATTTCGGGCCTGAGAATCATGAGTCACCTCCATAACCCTTCCTTTTTGTGTAACAGATCCATCTGGGTAGCCAACAGATCCCATTTCAGCCCCCTTAGCACCCATGGGAACTTCTTTCTGTTCAGGAAAATGTGTCTCCACATTTGAATATTTCCCTTCAACAACACCCCCAGGGATGTTTAGTCCTTGTGAACCCCCTGTTCCAACTCTTGGCTCATTAACATTCTGTGCTTGGAATCCTCCGCTGCTAATACTAGTAGTGGGTGGCGGAACCTCAGATTGGTGCATCTGCAGGAAATTCTCTCCAACATTGACATCATTATAGAGATCATCATACTCATCATCTTCCCCCATCTCTTCCTCTGCAAGGGCAGGTATGGCACCACTTCCCTGATATTGCATCTTCTGAGCCCCTCCATACTCCTCATCTTCATAATCTATTTGTTCATCAGCCATTTGGTCTGTTCAAACTGGCAAAAGATATATCAATATAAATTCTCTGAATTTCCACCAGTATGAAGAAAGCATCATCTATATCACAAAAATGAACAATTATAAAACTGATCCAGTACGACACACGCAAACAAGAACGTAACTAGAAAAAAAGAATGTTAATAACTAGTATACAGGAACCAAGAGAACAGAGATCTGCCATCAATACAAAGCAGAAAACATGGTATGCTACCAGCGACTACAGGCTTCATAATCCAGAAGATCTACGATTACCTAATCCTGGTAACACGGTCCATTTTCGAAAAACAAAAAACTTATAAATCATTAGAAAACCACTTACCCATGTAGTTAATAGCCTAAAAACAAATAAAATTATAGTTTTTACTCCATAATAAACAGAAAAAGAACACAAATCAGATACCCATGTCATAAATTACCAAAAAAAAAAATATATATCAAATCAAATCCAAGCATCCAATTCCTGTATGTAATGAAATATTAAATATATCACAAATAGATACGTTAAGATCGCCAACCCACTTGGGAAATCCAACTTCCCAAATTACATAAGGATACAACATAGAACCAGTAATAATTAAACAAACAAAAACTGCAGGTGAAAGAACAAACCTCTTAACTTTGATTAAGCAAAAGCTATAGAAATATTACAGATTCAAAGACGGACATTCGAGAGAGCAAGAGAGAGAGAGGTTCGCTTACTCTGTCCTTCTTCTTTGTATCAAGACTCTCAACCACCGAAGACCATACAGACACGAAGGCTTTCCCTTTCTTTCCCTCTCCTCTCCTCTCCTCTCGCTTTCTCTCTCTATCTCATGTACGTCTTCAATTTTTATTGTTCCTTTTTACTGATTTGTCTTTATTTTCATTTCTATGCTAACCCTAAGTTCTTTCAAACAGGGATATGGATATGGATATGCTTTGTTACATATAATATCAAAATCAAATTTCGGTCGTTGGCTTCTTTCTTTTGTAATAATCGAATTACATGAACCTGTTTCTTATTATTATTATTATTATTATTATTATTATTATTATTATTTCATTTAATTCGATTTGGTATATTCATGTATATCATACATATTTCTTAATAAATTATATATTAAGACTTAAATTCTTTTTTTAAAATTAAAATTAAGTAATGATTTAGATGATACATTAGTTTAAAAATTAAGATTAAATGGTAAGTTTAAGAAATTATTTTTTAATTAATATAAAATATTGAAAGTAATTTAGTTAAATGCTCGAGCTGGGCCTAGAATTTAATTTTTTCATGGGTTGTTATTTTGACAAAAGAATATACCTATTCTTATTAATAATACTAATTTCATTGTCCATTGACACTAATTTTACATAATCAAAGTTTTTTTTTAAAAAAAAATTCACTATTTTATATCAATTTACTGATATGATATTTAATTTTCTCTTTATAGAAATACAATTTCTTCTATTTTAAAATAATTTTTAAGAAATCAAAATATTTCAGAATCTGTAAAAATGGACATGAATCTAGTTCCCTCGTGAAAAATATTTTTTAAACAAAAAAAAATTCAAGGCCTATCCACATTCCTTTTTAGTGTTTTTGAGTTAGTTAAAACACTATTTCTACATTATTAGTTTTTTTTTTTTTTTTTGAGTTAGTTAAAACACTATTTCTATATTATTAATAGTATGCTGATTGAACAACTTATATAACGGTTAACGGCTACTAATAGAAGCATTTACTGCATACACATTGCAAATTTGTGGTCTTGCTTCACTGGAATTTACCGTTATTTGCAAGACGCACACATTTTGCAAATGGTAACTTTTTGCATGTTAAACAAATATGAAATGCAATCGTACAGAAGAGAAGATTGATATAATGTAAAATCTTTATAATCCAGAGTAGGAATAGTTAGTTATATTTCTAATTGCAACTAGTAGCTTCATTATCCAACTCAAGCAAATGAATGAATATTTATAGTGTTATTATCATTCACAACAAAAGGTAAAGAGAGTGAAAAATCATTTTCATAATCTAACTGAGCTGAAGGTTAAAAATTCAGCTCAACTACGTTTTTTCCCTAAATGACAGTTCCTAGCAGTAGCAGGGCCTATTAGCAACAACAAATTAACTGCCATCCTAAGATTTTGAGAGACCCCAGGTAACCAATGAAAGAATCAATACAAACTTCTCTGTTACAATTAAAATAGAGCGTGCCCATATTTTACACCACCTCTCACAACCCACGACACAAATATGAATGGACAACCGGGAAGATGCAACGAGGGAAGTGAATTGAGGCACATAATGGAAGTGGAAATGGTTTCATTCCAAAGAAATTTGCCATCTGAAAATGCCTATCGAATCATATGCCCAACTGGATCTTTGGATTAATACATTCCCTTGAAAACAGGATTTGTGCGACATATGCTAGCTCCATGTTCCTCATATTCCGCTTTTGTATGGCAAGCCTGCACCAGAAGAGACCATTTTTTTTTTCCAATCTTAAAGTTACTTGAATCAAGATTAAGTAGTAAGAGTGTTGAGTGTAATCCAAGCTCAAGAGATATTCAACCAACCACAAACCCATGAAAGCGAGTAAATGGTGAGTGTAATTCACCAGCCAGCCTCTCTCTTGTAAAGTTGAATATTAAAACGGCCAATTTAAAATTCCAACCTAATAAGGAATTAGGTGTCCCCCACTCATGATCACCTCAAAATTCAGATAACCAATATTTATAGTATAGGCCCTTCTAAAGCAGCACACAGCTTATGATGCCTCCTTTTAGTTAAGTATAAATTTAAGATATATAGATAAAGACAGGCTTTACTTGTCTTCATCTAAATATGGACCAGCAAAGCACCCTCAAGGAAAATGGGTAAAAATAGCCAGCTTATCTTTGACTTGCAAGATAGCATCAAGAGCACCACATTGAATGATGTGGTCTCAAGTTTCCAATACAGAATTCTTACAACAAAAGTTTCAAGCATCATAGCCCTATATCAAACATTCCATTTGAATCCAGGAGAGTTAAATGAAAACCCTAGGCAGTTAAACAGTTGCCAAAAGAATCCTATGCATGCAGATAGCTGTGAAAAGTATGCAGTAATCAATATAGTTTCTGACAGGAGAGAGAAATTTATACCGCAAAAAATTCAGGTGTTGATGCAAGAACTGAACCTCCAAACCAAACAGCAAATCTCTGGATGGGATGGCTGACCACATTTACTTCAACTGGTTGTAACTGGAAAACAGAAATAAAGAAACATGCAGACTTCTTATGTTACTAATAATTGCCCTTAAAAGTGGAGGAAAAAATGCAAGGTTCCATCTGCTTACTTTCACTTCCCCATCCAGTCTAGCTTCAGATGCAAGAACCCGTGAATCCACAATCTTCTTCAGATCCCGTTGCAACCTTCTGCCAAAGTCTTTGAACATGGTTGATCCCCCAGACAACACTATATTCTGAGATGAAAATCAAAAACAAGATGCAGTTGCAAGTGAAAAAAAAAATGGAAATATAAAAATTTGCAACGTGGTTTTATGAGAACAAATATCTCAAGCCAAATTTTAATTGAAAAAATTTAAAAATAAAAATAAAAGGAAAGGAAACCAAAGATTATGTATGCCTATGGTCCTAGTTTCAAGAATCCCAGATCATTGGTGAAGAAAAATATAAATAAACAGCACATTTCCATAAGGCACTGAGGAAAGGAGCCAGATATAGCTCAGGACCCAAAATACAAAAAATTGTCCCTTTTAAATTTGTACTTTGTTCCCAACATTTGAGTTAAATTCTGAATATTCAATGAATATAATTTATCTAAGGGCCAAAATTTTCAATTTATTTTTTAAGTGTGTATACTTCACCTTATATAATGCCCTCCTTGTATCAATTGGCGCAGATTGAATACACTTGTCTATTACAGCTGGCAATGGAGTGGTGAAGTCACTGCTATATATCTCTGGATTAAAGAAAACCTGGAGAGCAAGTTAATAAATAATCAGAATAAAGTGAAGCAGCATGCTTATGACAAGAACACACAGGCAGCTAGGTTCATTGCTTTTATCATACAATATTATCAAATCATTCTTTAAATTTCGATGGAATGGGTGCTACAATTTTTTGAATTTGGTGAACTGGCATTGGTCTAACTAATTGCTCAATTAATCATATTCACAGAATTTGTAAATCCAATAACTCCAATTGAAATTTATAATTTAAATTGACAATCTAGTAGAATAAGGCCAGTGTTAATTTGAGCTTATGGTCGTCTAATTAATAATAAAACTACACTAATCTTCTTTCAAATTTCACCAAGGGTACAATTGACACTGAGCTTTGGAACTATGGTATAATTAGTGCAAAGAAGAACATGAGTACAATTGGAAACTGCTTAGTAGAACTGGAGAATATCCAAATGACACAGCAGTGATTGCATAGAAAACCAGCTGCTTCTGGTATCCTATGAAATAAACAAATACACTAATTACTAATGCCGCATAAGTATAGGAAAAACTACTTATGGTGTTCCATAAAACAAAACAAATGCATTTTAACACGTTGAAACTTCTAACAAGGTCATTAGTTCATATTGTCATAGAGGCTTCGCAACTTCCAAAGGAATTGCTCAAGTGAAGAAAATGGAATTTGCATCAGTCATCTTACACAAATCAAGAAAACACATGAAGAAAATCTGGAAAAAAATTCTGAGCCATTCAATGCAAAAAATTTAAGGCTCTTCCAAGAAGAAAGTGTCCAGCAAAGAATAGATAAAACAAACCTCAGGTCCAAGAAAACGTTCATAGCCAACATCACAGGAATATGGCGCCCCCGTTTTGGGTTTAATACCTCTCCAGTGCTTAATATACTTGCCTGGTTCTTTATCATGCTTGTTGAACTCCTGGAATCATTTAAAAATTCGAGTATTACAAATATCATAAACTTGTAATACGACAGAATACCATTTTTGCAATGGAACTTGTATGCTTATTATGGAACTATAAAGATATTACATCCATATGTATTACAAAAATCTATGCAACTCAAAATTTTAAGGGAAGCCAAAATTACCTTAACAATGTCAGAACAAGTGTAGCAATACATTTCCTTCACTTTTCGAGCTACATCAAAGGAATCTTCAGGTGGTATATTTTCCCCTCTTTCCTACAAAAATTTTAACAGGCAAGAAGCTGTAAATGCTAATTATTATAGTATGATCTGCAAATCCATAATTCTGAAAAACAAGTTAAAACGATTAAAACTGCCACTTCTTGAGGCATTTAATGACTTCCGTGAGAATGATGCCATGTCAAAAAAAAAAAAAAAAAAAAAAAGGAAATCTTACCCGGTGGTACTATTTTCCCCTCTTTCCTACCAAAACTTTTACATGCAAGAAGCTGTAAATGCTAATTATTATCGTTGATGATCTGCAAAATCCGCATATCTGAAATACAGTTAAAACGATTATAAACTGCCATTCTCTAGAGGCATTTTAATGACTTCCCGGTGAGAATGATTGCCATGTCAAAAAAAAAAAAAAAAAGAGGCCAAACAGTACTGATATTCTCTCTCAACCGTACGAGGCAATGAATGTCCTTAACTCTGTTTCCTTATTAAAAAAAAAAAAAAAAAAAAGAGGCAAACCAGTACACTGATCATTCTCTCTCACCAGTAGAGGCAATGAATTCTTAACTCTGGTTTCCTTATTCAGTACAAAGACTAGTTCCAGACAAAGCCATCATAGCAAGATGTTGAAGCCATAGCATAAATACCCTAAAGTTGCAAAACATGAATTTATTCCAAAACTGAACTGTTGGCAACTTGACATTATGTATGCAGCATTTTCCAAACAGCAAGTACATGGCAGACAAATTTAAAATGATGAGCAGCAACATGCAGTACATAATAGATCATATATATGGACAGTGCACGTGGATCCATATGACATATAGGAACTAATCCAGGTTCAAGGTAAGTGACTTGTATATAAAACATATGAATCCAAAAATGAACTGATAGGAATACAAGTCTCAAGTGATGCATGCAATGCAGGACAAACATCATGTGCAAAACCAGTAACACAATGGAGGAACCATATCCATATGTGCCTCCTACTTATGGAACTAACTACTCATGTTTATGTGCAACCCCAGGTTTTGAAAATGAACAATCACGTGTCATCCACATGAAACTATCAAATACAAAAGTCAATCTTTTCAAAACTTGAATCAATCAATAGATCTAACCAGTCTAACTGGGAACCAAACCTGTAACTGTACTCTAGCCAAATTTGACTTCATGATTTACTTTGCAAACTTATTGTATATTAATTTTTCTGAAAATTTAAAAATTTAGTTAATTGGTTTTTCATCCAGTGAAACCAATTGAATCAATCAGAATAGTGAATCAGTCAGCTGACTAGCTCAATTTTCATAATGATTTAGAACCCATTTTGAAAAATATCAGGACTGGATAAAAAAATAAAATAAAACAAAAACTGGACTGAAAAATGCCGTAAAGATTTGTGATGCAGATAAAACATTAAAGTACAATATCTGACCACAACATGTAACCTCAATCAGATTCCAGTGTACTACTACCTCAACTTGCCTTTCTTTTTAGTATAAAACAAGGAGTTTTTAAGTAAAATCATGTATCTTCTGCTTCCTCTCTCATATACTTTTGCCTCCTTCTCAAAACTAAAGTATAAACTATGCACAGTACAAAGATGTCAGAGACACACCCGCATAAGCTGCTGGATAAAGAGAGTAACATCTTTTCCAGCAATAGGAACCGACTTAATGCTGCTCCCAATAACGTAACCATCAGCAACAGGTACGATATGAGTAGCTCCATCTCCAACATCCACTACAACTCCTGTCATCTCACACTGAAGAGAATTTTAAATCAAATATCAAAGGAAGAGTTTATCGCACAGAACTATAAAGCACAAGATAAAACGTGGATGAGTTTCAACTAAAAATTACAAAAGGGCAGAAAAGGTTAAGGAAATCATTAAGATAGTAGTAAAATGCACAACCAATATAAAATCTGATTCCAGATCAAACATGCAAAAATGGTCACCAACTATAATCATCAATATAATTGAATTAGTATCCTCCATTCCTAAATGCAAAACTCTGTGCTGGATTTAAAGGTACAATTAACTAATAAATGAAGCAGCAGCAGACTGGAATAATTAAATGTTAGATTAGCAAAATGTTTGATTCAATGAACTCAGAGTATTGCATGCCCAATTAAATAGCAGTTCCTGCAGAACCCCAATTCATTAAGAAGCAAACCTTCAAATTGAATACATGGAGGCTTCTTTACACGCACCAAATATTAAGATTTGAGTGACAAATGCTGATCAGACTAACATTCAAAAAGCCTTTGCTTCCCCAAGTTTTGATCCCAGACTAGTTTTTTTCTGGTGTCAACAAGCGAAGAATAATTCTAGCCTCAAGCAAGTCCACCAAGGATCTTACAAACTTCTACAATTTTTTGCAAAATAACACGTCTTTCCTGATGGAATAGCTTACAGACCTTCGCACAGAGGAATACATGCAATGCCTCCCTACAGAGTCTTAATAAATTAAATAAATTCATTCTGAGATTGCTCCTGATAGAAAGACAAACAAGAGGAAAAAAATATTTATGAGTCAACAGTGCGCTACTAATGATCTGTCGGATCCCCATACTGAATTGCTTGAGTAAAAAAGAAAATGAGCATAAAGTTGTGGATTACTTCAGCGCTCTTGTAAAGAAGCAACACAATACAAATAGTGCCAACCGTTGGTCAAAAACAAGAAGGGTATGTGGGGACTCTTTCACCACTTCACATTTGATTTTTCAATATTCTACTTCGGCCTCCACAAATGTAATTGAAAACGATTAGCTCACAGATAAATAGTAATATATATGACATTTCCATACCCACTTTAAACGCTCAAAATTGATTGTGAATAGCTAAATTAAACAAACACCACAATTCTCAAAACTTGAAAAGCCAGTCTATAATGTACAATAAGGCATAACCAAGCATTTCAAGGCTCTCCCTAATCAACCTCTAACTGAATATACATAATTGAAATAATAAAAAAAAAAACAGCACAATCCTCAAAACCAACCTTGGATGTTGTGTACCCAGCCGCTAGAGCAAGCACAGAATTGACCGCAATATAAAGCCCAGGAACATTAAATGTCTCGAACATAATCTCACCGGTGTATTCGCGACTCTCCGGTGCAGTAAGCGGGCTTTCGGTCAAAAGAAAGTAATGTTCCTCTGGATCGCAGCGCAAATAATTGAATATACACTGCTGCCAGTACCTTTCCATGGCATCCCAATTATCGACCTGACCATGTTTCATAGGATAACTAAGATTATAAATATTACTCGATCTCGATTTGGCAATCGCCTCTTCTCCGATTAAAAAGTCTAGATCGGCCATAACCCCCGCGCTATGCTGCGCTAACCAATTCGTTTTTGAAGAATTCCTAGATTGATTTAGAAACGACTCGTTGAGAGCAACTACTGTTGGTAAAATAAAACATGGCTCAACATTTCCCGCATAACCCATTTTAGTATACCTGCAAAACAATCATAAAACCAAAGAAAAAACTCAATTCAGCAAAATCACAATGGAAGCATTTCATCGAACAACTTCCGTGCCCAAACCAAATAGAGGGAACAAAAAGAATACCCGGTGCCATTATCGATGACGACAGCAGGGCGAGACGTGGGGTCCATCGGGATGGGAGAGGAAGAATAAACGACGGTGAAGAAACTGAAAGGGGATCTTCGCGGGAGATCCAAGAGAGGGTTTAGGGGAGAGGTTCATGGTCAGGTAAAGCGCTTAGATAAGCGCAAGAAAGAAGGTGAATTGATGATGATTGCGGTGGTAGACTTGGATCGCAAGTGAAAGCAGCGACTCAACGATAATGGTAGCTTCAAGTTGGTGAATAATAATCTACCCATTTCAACAATAACAGCATATTCTCATAAACTTTGTTACCATCGTTACCAAGCTCTGCCTATCAATCTCTCTATCTATCAATCTGTTTGTGCGTCTCTGTTACGTGTTGAATTTAGGATACTTTTCTTGCCAATCGAGATTAAACACAAAGCAGCCAACGCAGAAACGACGACTCTCTTTGTTTTCAGTTCTCTCTTCTTCTTCGTGGGATTCGTTTTTTATTTATTTATTTATTTATTTATTTTATTTTAACACGGAGAGTCAAACGTGACCGTCGTACGATTTTCGACCGTAGGATTCATACAACTTATGTGTGACCCCAAGTGTGGTCGAATCAGAGTGGCGGTACTCTAGTGTGACGTTTACGGTCGCAAACTGGCCCAGGTTACGGTGTTTAACCGCTTATTTTGGGTGACGTTTTGGACGGTTTGGATTCTGGGATGAGAAGTATTTTATTGGTGTGTGATAAATCATAAGAAGAAATTCGACTGTTGAAAATCATACTACAATTTTTAAAACTTGTTTTAGAATATTTTGCTTGGTCAACATTTATTAATAAAAATTTGAATATACTTATGTGCATTTATTGTTTAGCTTATAACTTATTTAAATAATTAACTAAATTTTTACTCAATTTATAGATTTTTTATCATTTTTCCACAATTGCTATCAAAACTCCATTATTATCCAATTAAGTTGCTTTAATTATAATAATTTATTGAAAAATTTACTCGTAAAAAAACTTTGTTATAACTATTTATATCTACTGAACCAATAAAATTGCTTCTAATCTTGGTTTAAAGTTTTTTATTAGCAAAAATAATGTCAAACTTATAAGAACTTTTTTACATTTTATTTGCAATTGAATGCACATATCTCAAATGTGCAAAGGAAGAGATGACCAAAAACAATGTGAAGAGAAAATAAAAAAGAATGATATTAGATTTATCTTTCATTATTTTGTTATATGTTCAAAACATAAATAAAATTGAATTTCCTTAGATAGTTTGAATCGATCAAATTTGAGCAATGAAATAATATTTTATGAATTTATCGGATTCATTTGTTTCGTGAAAAAAAAAAATAATAGGCAACTTATAAAATTGTTAAATTTCATCGTTATTGTTCCATCATTTTAGAATAGAGATAAATCATATCTGTTATGTGGAATTTTATAAATTCCACAATTTTATACTACTTGTATAATCCAAACCATTTAATTTTATTGCAAAAATAATATCACAATCAAAGAATTTTGTATTTCACTTTAAACAATGGAATGTAAAGTTTCGTAAATTTCATAATTAATTTATTTTATATTTCATCAATCTAATAGTCACAAACCTCTAACTACTTGCAGAAAAAAAAGAAAAAAAAAAAGAAAATAAAATTATGGTAGTTTGGTTCAAAACACAATTGATGATATTACTCCAATTGTTAAATTAATAAACCAATTGAAAGATCCATCATCATGGAGATCACCAATTAAATTAATAAAATATTATATCATGGAGGGTCCTTTGTTCTCTCTTTTACTTAGCAAATATGTCAGAAATCACGAATTAACTATACAGTGTAACATTAAAACTAATAAAAAATTTTTTTTTGAGTCATTGATTAGCTCTTGAAAGTGTTATAGGGTCACTGCCCAGGAAACAAAGTGTCATTTACACTTTAATGTGGTTTAAGATTTGCTTTTCCGTCGTACTACTCACTCGCCTCCTTCCAAATTTGAAGAGAATCCTAAGTTCCTACAAGTCATTTCATTTCTCTCCATCTTAAAAATAAAACTATTACAGAGAGAGGTGGTGCAGGAAACCTCATGTGTTCTAACATAGTTGCACGTGTGAATCACGTTAAATACATGATCACTTGGGTAGCACGTGCTTCGGTGGTTGCCATTTCCCATTTTATTGCTTTATTCTGCGTGTCTTTAAAAATATGAACAAGAATATAATTAACAGTGTTGAAATAAATAATTCATGATTTGTCGGAGGCATTTAATTTCATAATTTTATTGCTTTATTCTGCGTGTCTTTAAAAATATGAACAAGAATATAATTAACAGTGTTGAAATAAATAATTCATGATTTGTCGGAGGCATTTAATTTCATAATTTTATTGCTTTATTCTGCGTGTCTTTAAAAATATGAACAAGAATATAATTAACAGTGTTGAAATAAATAATTCATGATTTGTCGGAGGCATTTAATTTCATAATTTTATTGCTTTATTCTGCGTGTCTTTAAAAATATGAACAAGAATATAATTAACAGTGTTGAAATAAATAATTCATGATTTGTCGGAGGCATTTAATTTCATAATTTTATTGCTTTATTCTGCGTGTCTTTAAAAATATGAACAAGAATATAATTAACAGTGTTGAAATAAATAATTCATGATTTGTCGGAGGCATTTAATTTCATAATTTTATTGCTTTATTCTGCGTGTCTTTAAAAATATGAACAAGAATATAATTAACAGTGTTGAAATAAATAATTCATGATTTGTCGGAGGCATTTAATTTCATAATTTTATTGCTTTATTCTGCGTGTCTTTAAAAATATGAACAAGAATATAATTAACAGTGTTGAAATAAATAATTCATGATTTGTCGGAGGCATTTAATTTCATAATTTTATTGCTTTATTCTGCGTGTCTTTAAAAATATGAACAAGAATATAATTAACAGTGTTGAAATAAATAATTCATGATTTGTCGGAGGCATTTAATTTCATAATTTTATTGCTTTATTCTGCGTGTCTTTAAAAATATGAACAAGAATATAATTAACAGTGTTGAAATAAATAATTCATGATTTGTCGGAGGCATTTAATTTCATAATGGACCGATCCGGTGCGAGTTTTTGTAGGGATTGAAAACATGTTAACTGCTTGCATTGTTTTAGTGGTCGATGAATGCGATGAGGGAGTGTCAATAATTTTTTTTTTGGGTAATCTTTAGTGCAAAAACAAAAAGAGCAAAAAATGATAAGATTTGCAGACAATTCAATAAGGGAATTCAATCTCCTCCGTCCGAAGAATATGTACCATTCAGTCCATGTCGCTAAAGTCAATTGATGAACTTCGCTTTCTCTCTTTCTCTCTTTGATTGTTTTTCTATTATTTTTAGGTATAAGATCGTAGGTAAAATTAAGGAAAAAAAAAAAAAAAAGCTGATGGTGGCCCCTGATTTGATCTTTTATTTTTTGGTTATTTTACTTTTTTTTTTTCTGCAGCTTTTGCATGTTTGTAATATTTGGATTTTCTTTTTTCTTTTTCATTTTCTATTTTTCTGTATAACGAAAATATATATATTTCTTAATTGCCATTGGCATTTTTTTTTTCATAAGCTACGCTTATCATAATTGAATTAATTATAATATTAGAGGCCTATACTCTAAAGGAATATTTTTAGTGATAAGAATTGTGAATTTTTATTTGAAATAACTCAAAATTTGAATTTTGATCATTGAAAATTGGGTCGTGGGTTTATGATAATAAAAATTACTACTACAATTCAATTCTGTTTAACAATTAGACAAGTAATTAATCATTTTAGGGTTACGTGACAATTAGGTTTAAATGCAAAACAACCTAATATTCATTAAAAGAAAATCAATTAAAATATATAATTTAATTATGACAATGATTTTTAATGGACACACTCAATTATTATTATTTTTCTTTTGTTTTTTTTTTTGCAATTGGTGTAATAGATTAAATTTGCATAATAGTTATTCTAAATAGTAAAATTCAAATCACCAAAACCCTAAACCTAGAAAAAGTTTAGGTTTGAAATGAATATTTGATAATCCAAATGAATGGCTAATATGGAAAGAGAAATCCCCAAAATCCCAAAACCATCCATAATGGAGTAGTAATGGACCTTCACCCGTTCCCGCACTAACAAACAGACTGACTCCCAACAAAAATCTAAAATGCTATTACACTCTATCCTTTCCGTTGTTCATTTATCGCTTTCACCAACTCCTAATTACTCAAGCTGCCCTCCAAATATAATTGTCTTTCATTTTTTTTTTTTGCAATTCGAAAATATTTAATGAGTACAATGGATTTATTAAGTATATATAGTGAAAAATAAATATAATAATAAAAAAGATTATGATAATAGAATTAATATAAAATATGTGATTCAATATAATGAGAATTCATACGTATGCTTTTATTTTTATTTGCATACAAAATTTGATAAAATAATTTACGCCATTGCTTTTCTACATATAAAGCCAAATTTAATTATGAAAATTAACAAAATTTAAATTTTGAGTATCTGATATAATTATTTTAATTTTCTCAAGAATTTTTGTTTAAAATAATAAAAATTCTTATATCCTAGAATATTCAAATTTTAAAATCTCTTACGCCTTATACAAATAAGAACACGTTACTTTAAGTAAAAAAAAAAAAATATATATCTTACCTTATACAAATGAAGAACACGTTTACTTTAAGTAAAAAAAAAATATAGATATATATATATATATATAATTTTTCTGAATGGAGTGAAGTATAAAAATATATATATATATATATATATTTTTTCTGAATGGAGTGAGTATAACTAAAGAAATAAAGGATTTAAATAGTGATAATTTTATTATCTAATAATTTTTAAATAAAAAGAAATTCTTCCTCCCGCCATAAAAGAAATTAAGGGGACAACCAAGTCATTTCAGTTAAGCTTTTAGAAGACCAATGGGTCAGGGGCCCAAAAAAAAAAGTTAAGGGGTCTTCAATTACTCAACGGACAATCCTAAGATGTTTCTCTTTCCTTCTTCAGTTCTACAGTAGTAGTACCTGCATCTCTCTAAAAAATCCTAAAATCACACCACCTCCTCCACCACCACCACCACCACCTGTGCACTAATGCGCATGTTAGCTGTCTCTCTGCAATCATCACCACCCTTCAATCCCATGCATTTATTATATTATTACTATAATGCGCCTCTTTTAAATGCTTCTTTCTCTCTCTTTCTTCTAGCTTGACCTACGCTTCGAGGCCTTACTGGCTCTACCTTCTGCCTCACTGACTTCTGCCTTAAATGGATCTGTGTGCCCCTTTTACGCAGGCTTTCCTTCTTATAACTGCACTCTTTCGTTTTTAAATTGTCTCGTTTCGTTCTCGATCTTATTCTTATGTCATTTCCGAAACGTTTCGTTTCATTCTTATCCGCTCCTAGTCCCGATCGGGTCCCGCATTTCCTCTCCGACCCGAGCTGCTCTAAATTGGAGCTTCTGCAGCTCTCATTGACTGATCCTTGCTTGCTGTCTCGTGCATTTGTGTGATCCATGCTGTTTTAGTCAACAAAATGAATCCTCTCTGCTGCATTGCTCCTGTTTCCATCGATCGGGATCGAGCTAACCCGGTTGTGGCCAAATCTGTTAGCCAGTCTCAGTTAAGTATCGAAAATTCTGTTAGAACAGTCAACCATAGCTCTAAACCGAGTTTCTCTGCTCAGGCATCATCGGTGGGGACTGATTTGGACAGGTCTTCAGGCGTTGGGAATCAAGACTTTGAAGATTCGGTAAATGAAGCTAGGGATTCGAAAATGTATAATGTGAACGGCAGCGTCAGTAGCTCTGTGGCGGGGATTCTTTACAAATGGGTAAATTACGGCAAGGGATGGAGATCGAGATGGTTTCTGCTTGAAGATGGTGTGCTATCTTATTACAAGATTCATGGACCTGACAAGATTCTTATGAGTCCGGCGAGAGAGAAGGATGTTAGGGTGATCGGAGAGGAATCCTTGAGATACATGAAAAAAGCTAATTGGAGTAGTAATCGGCGCGCCGTGGGTGCCGCAGCATCCGCTAGGCAGTGCAAGCCATTTGGCGAAATTCATTTGAAGGTTGGTTTCTTTATTTGTAGAGGCGTATGAGGTGAAGTATCTCTCCTTTTGCTTACTTATTGTGGTTATCGATATCTCGGTGTTCAATGTTATTTTTAGTAAAAAAAGAAAACTTTGTGAACGGCTATATTTGGAGGATGTGCCATGTAATCGTCAATTTTTTTAACGCCAGTGATAAATTCCCTTCTCTTGACTTTTCCCCCTGCATTTTGTTGCTTATTGGAATGTGGACATACATGATATTGTTTAATATCCTAGCTTGTGTTTGGTGATTCGGGATCGTCTATTGTTTTGACTTAATGATTCACTGAGCTAGAAACTGCATTGATACGATGGTGTTAATATTGATTAGGTATTGTCTTTCATAAGAAAAGTACTGTGACGCTATTTTATTTATTTATGCACGTACTGTTGTCTTTGCAGGATCCCATTCTAATTTAGGGAATGATAATATTGTTTTACTCTGGTTGTTCTAAATTTATTTCAAAATAGTAGAAATTAACTATCTAATGGACGACTTCCCCACTGAGTACAAATTGTCTCTAGTGAGATCTGATGTCTGTGATATATAAACAATGTTGGGAAAAGGGCTAAAATCCGATTCTTTGCTGGGATTGAAAGGCTGATGAAAAGCATTGTCTAAGGAAGACCTATCTCTTGATTCGAGAGCATATGAAAATCCACTCAGGAATAAAACACTCCTTTAGTGAATGAAATGCTACGAGGTGAATTCAACTCACACTAATAGTTTATACCCAAACGTTGGTCTTTCAAATGGTGTTTTTTAGGACTAGAAATGAATTATTTGTAATCTGGTATTAACTCCCTAATAATGTTAAATGAAGCATGGATGGTATTTGTAAATAAACTCCTAATACTGTTAAATGAAGCATGGATATCTAGGAAATAGTCATTATGCCAGATTAACACCCATATTAACACGAAATCATGAAAGCAGATCTGGATCATTGTGCCCTATAACCCTATTATGCATCGCCATGTATTAACCCAATAGTTGTTAATTGTCAAAGCTAATGAAGTTGGTTGTCATCTCTATGCACTCATGGATGTTGCTTTACTAAAACCAGTGTTTGAAGAGTTACTTCTCATGTTGTTAGTGAATTCCGACACTCGTAAATCTGGCAAGTTGGTGCTTATCCTATTTTTTCTTTCAGTGCCCGTGAAGTGTCCCATTGCATTCGACTATCTGGACCCTGGAGCAGGAACTAATCCTCCTCATGACACAAGCACTATTTATATTTCTTACTTGTCTTATGTATGATGAGAGGCAATAATCTTATGGCCTGAATGTTCTCTAAGTTCAACTGTGTGAATGGTTGCTGAGCATGTGTGTTGGACTGAATTGGTGTGCAGGTATCTTCAGTTCGGGCAAGCAAATCAGATGATAAAAGACTTACCATTTTCACCGGAACAAAAACTCTTCACTTGCGATGCATATCAAGAGAGGATAGAATAGCATGGCTTGAGTCATTGCAGGCGGCTAAAGACCTTTACCCTAGAGTGTTATCAAGCAATGACTTTTCACCTTATGAAGATATTGTTGTTTCAACTGAGAAGCTAAAATTACGGTTACTGCAGGAAGGCATTGGTGAGGCAGTCATCAAAGACTGTGAGTCAATTATGCTCTCAGAAACCTCTGAGTTGCAAAGTCAGTTGAAGGCTCTTCAACGCAAGCACATAATGTTGTTAGACACATTGAGGCAATTGGAGGTACTCGCACTTCTTTTACTCTCTCTCTCTCTCTCTCTATATATATATATATATATATTGCAGAATTGCAAGCATCAAGCTGGACAATTTAACAACTTATTGTCTTTTGTCTTTGTTATGATTTGTTTTGGCCTTAGGTTGGTTCAATAATGTTTTTTCTATTTATACATGTCGTTTCGCCATGTGAGTATCACTCTGAAAGCAGGTTTTGGAGTTTGATGTGATGTAACATTTTTGCTCTAGTGGAGAAAATATATGGTGCCAACATGAATTATCAGTTCAACAATCTGTGTCGTAAAATGATAAAGTGTATTTTTGTCTTTTACCTGTCAGATGTATATGTTCCTCATTTTCTCTGTCTTGTGACCCATTCAAATCACAAGTGGAAGATAACGAAGACGTTTTTCTCACTTCATAAACCTTGGATTCCCCGATGGAAAAGAATAGCAAGTACATGAACTATTGTAAAGCTTCAAAGACATGAAATTGCCGAATTGCTTTGTCCTTGAAGCAAGGAGGGCTTTATTACACTATTATTTTTTATGCAGCTCAAAAATTGCTGAGCTGTGCTTTAAAACATAAATTGCTCATTTTAATTCCCCTTGGCTTTCTTTCGTTCTTGAATTTATATTCAATTTGTAATCAGTTCCCGTTGTTTTTTTTAATCCTTTCTTGCTCGTAGAAAGTATTTCTCCCTTGCATATACTGCTATATCTGGTAATAAAACCTTCCTCTGTCAAGGAGTAATTGTTAACTTCTGAATTGTCTTTGCAGACTGAGAAAATAGAGCTGGAAACCACTGTAGTGGATGAGACAAAGGAACGTGAGTCATACTGTGGACAAGCAAATAGAAGATTTAGTGGTTAGTAATGCTTTTTTATTTTCTGCTCTTGATCATGCATAGCTTTAGTTACTCATAACTATGTAAGTTACATAAGTTTATGTATATAACATATTGTGACTACATTCAGTAAATATAAGAAAAACTACGTTGGGAATGTGTTAATGGAACAAGTTGATATTGTTGATCATCCAAGTATTTTACATCAGGAATAGTTGCAATCAATTATATGCAGCTCTCGGTTCTCAGCTATTTGTCTTTCGACTTGACATGGTTTATTGAATGCTATACATGGTTGTAGTTCTCTTCATTGATCAGATGGTGAGGTTCTACATATTGGACATAAAAGTGGTGGTACTACCATTTAAGCATTTCATTTTATCCATTTAGTCTAGTTTTGTCTATATTAGCACCTATATTACTCAGACTAACCAATTTGCCCTGCCATACCCATATCTACACAAAGCAAGATATGACATGGAATATGTGTAGAAGTTGGATACACCTAGTGAGAGAGACAATTGAAGAGAGTGCTTATCCAACATAAATACATAATTATCTTTCTAGACATTTATCTCTTACAAGTAATTATCTTTGATAATTATTTTTTTGGAGATATTTTTCTTTGATAATATTCTTTTAGAGGTAACTGTTGGATTTGGTTATATTTTGGATATGATCTATCTGCACAGTAGTTATTATTACAGAATTTTATATTTTTTTTTTTATTTATATAACTTATTCAAAAACCCGAATTTAAATTTGGATCCATACCACCATATTTCCTATTTAGGTAATTTACAAGTTCAACATGTAGAGAGTATCCATTTTCAACACCCATACCCGAGTCCGAGTAAAATAGATCTGCATATGTCTGGTTCCTCATTTTGGTCTACATGTAACCTTTTCCAGCTAAGGGAAAAATTGTCCACATTGTTCTTCAGCAAAATCTTTTTTCTGAAGATAGTTGTGGTTATTCAAAATTGACTGATATCCATATTTCTTCCATGTTACAGATTTCTATTCTGTTATGTCGGAGGGTAGTCCAAGTGATTCTGAAGCTGATAATGAAAGTCAAGATGGAGCCGATGTTGAAACGGATGAAGATGATGGCATATTTTTTGATACAAACGACTTTTTGTCTTCAGAAGCTCTAAGAAGTGCTTCCTACAGGAGTAGGGAAACCATGGGCAATGCTTGTATGTATGATAAAGACCCATTTTTTTCTGATAATTTACATGGAGCATTTGAGAAGAGAATCAGGACTATTCAATATCCGTATGTTAAAAGAAGAGATAATTTGCCAGAACCAAAGGAAAAAGAGAAGCCTGTTGGCTTGTGGTCAATTATTAAGGACAATATTGGAAAGGACCTGTCTGGAGTTTGTCTTCCTGTTTATTTTAATGAACCACTCTCATCACTGCAGAAGTGCTTTGAAGATTTGGAATATTCGTACTTGGTCGATCGAGCACTGGAATGGGGGAAGCAGGTCAAGTTTAGCTAGCCTCTCTTTTGTGATGAACAATTTTTAACCTTGATCTCTGTTAGTTACATTTTAGATCTGGTTATAAGCTTTATCTTAAAACAACTACCTCATTGCATTGTATTCTAGCACATCATATGTTTCTAAAATCACAATGTTGTTTGTAGACGATGAATATATCTGTGTTTATGCTTTTTATTTTTCTTTTTCTAGCTCTTAGTTCTAGTTTCTTGATGAGTGAAAATGCTCTTTAGGGAACTAGCTTCTGCGTTGGATCATGGCGAATATTGCAGGACTGTCTGGTTCTGACACAAGGCTGTCTAGGTTTGTGCTGTGCTTTGTGGATGGATTTGATACTTGCATCTAAATTTGTCAAAAGAACAAATAAAGTGTTTGCTGAAGTTCTTGGAAACTCTTAATTGGTTTCTGTGTTTTAATAAGCTTCATTCTTGAGTTCTTCTGTATGTTCTGTGGTAGGTATTTTGTTCTATAAGGATTTTTGATTAATATTCAATATAAAGTAGGGCTTTTACATGTTGCAGGGGAATGACTTAATGAGAATTCTGAACATTGCTGCTTTTGCTGTATCTGGTTATGCCTCAACGGAAGGTCGGCAGTGCAAACCCTTCAACCCTCTCCTCGGAGAGACATATGAGGCTGACTATCCAGATAAAGGTCTTCGTTTTTTCTCAGAAAAGGTACCGTTTTTCATTTATCCTAAATGAGCCAGGAGCATAACCATGAACAATGAATACTATTGTAACAAAAGTGAGTTTGCAATTGTTCCTCATTGTTGATTGCATGGCAATGGATGGTTTAGGATTTTGTCTCATCCTCTATATGCTCTTTGATGGGCCATTTTATGCAGGTAAGTCACCACCCAATGATTGTTGCTTGTCACTGTGAGGGGAGAGGCTGGAAATTCTGGGCAGACTCCAATCTCAAAGGCAAGTTCTGGGGGCGTTCTATTCAGCTTGATCCTGTCGGCGTCCTCACCCTGCAGTTTGAGGATGGCGAGACCTTCCAATGGAGCAAGGTCACCACTTCTATATACAACATTATACTGGGAAAACTTTATTGTGACCACTATGGCACCATGCGGCTCAAAGGGAGTGGCAAGTACTCCTGTAAGCTTAAGTTCAAAGAGCAGTCCATCATAGACCGAAATCCACATCAAGTAATCCTTGTACTTGCAAATCAATGATAATGATCACTCTTCATTATGCACTCTAATGCATTAGTTATTGATGAAGAATCCTTTTTTTTTTCTCCTACAGTTTTTTAGCTCTTATTTTTCTTGCTCTATATGTTAGCTATGTTACTAGAGTATTAATCTAATGCTTGATTCATTAGAAATTGAATTATATGAAATGCTGCACTGCAAGGTTTGCGCTTGTGCACAATAGATTCTTTGAAGCAATCATCATTATCATCATCAGTCACTTATTCACTCTTCTTTTTCTTCTTCTATTCGAAATTGAAGGTTCATGGATTTGTACAAGATAATAGAACTGGAGAGAAGGTCGCAATGTTGGTCGGAAAGTGGGACGAAGCAATGTACTATGTGCTAGGGGATCCAACTACAAAGCCAAAGGGGTATGATCCAATGACAGAAGCTGTCTTGCTCTGGGAAAGAGACAAAGCTGTTAACAAGACAAGATACAATCTCACCCCTTTTGCAATATCCTTGAATGAACTGACTCCTGGCTTGTCGGAGAAATTGCCTCCTACTGACTCAAGACTAAGGCCAGATCAGAGACACCTAGAAAATGGGGAGTATGAGTTGGCAAATGCAGACAAGTTGAGACTTGAACAGTTACAAAGACAGGTATTCACTGGCCTGTGTATATTTGAGTTAGGTGATAAAGAAGCACTAGTGAAATAAAATATGCAAAAATAGCCGGCTCCAAAGTTTTACTCCAAATTAACATATGCAGAGAACTTGAGTTTTCACGTTTTCTTTCAAGCTCTTGTAATTGGAATTTTGGGAGATTATGCTTTACCTTGGTATTTATTGTCATTGCGAATCATTTAGAAATATGTCCTGCTATAGTTTATTTGAGACTTGCAAGTGTTGGTTTTGTCTTAAACAAGAAACAAGTTAAGCAACTTTTGTTTTCTCTGTTGTAGGCAAGAAAGTTACAGGAAAGAGGCTGGCAGCCAAGATGGTTTGAAAAGGATGATGAAGGTCGTTATCGGTACATAGGTGGTTATTGGGAAGCAAGAGAGAGAAAGAATTGGGACGGAATCCCTGATATATTTGGCCAAAGTAGCGATTCAACTTCATGTCTGGTCGAAGAATGATTGCCTTGGTTTCTCTACTCTTCTTTTTATCGTTTTGCTTTATTAATCCAATATCCACCATTGGGAACTGAAAATGTGATTTTAGACGTAGCTTCTTGCGCAGTTACTCATAGAATGCCAAAAGTTCAAGTGCAGTCACCCTAGTAAATTAGTTCATCTCAGTTCTTATCGAGGGATAATTTATTTATTTTGGCGCTTACTCTTATAAACTCTTTGTTTTGTCCGTCTGTTGTGCTTATATTAATTAATTAATTAATAAATATTATAAAGTTTGTCGGCCATTTTTTCTTTTGATGTCCATTCATGATGGAGAAATGACAAAAGAAAAGAATGCGGTAAGTTCTTGATATGCTTTCCAAAATCATATTTGGTAAGAAAGAATGTAATGCCAAAATCTTACAAAAGAAAAAGGAAAAAAAAAAAAAAAAAAAAAGTGTCCTGGTCATGAATGGTAGAAATGACAAAAGAAAAAGAATGCGGGTAAGTTCTTTGATATTGCGTTTCCAAAAATGATATTTGGTAAGAAAAGAATGTAATGCCAAATCTACCAAAAGAAAAAGAAAAAAAAAAAAAAAAAAAAAACAGAAAGCTAACGATCCTGATTATTTCCAACGCTTTCTTCCCCCTAAAATTTAAAAAAAAAAGAAAAAAAAAAAAAAAAAAAACAGAAAGCTGACGATCCTGATTATTTCCACGCTTTCTTCCCCCTAAATTGTTTGCCAGAGCGACTCTGTTTCCTCTTCTTCTCTTCCCGAGATCTAGCTGCCCTGGCTTTTTTCGCAGCAAAGGGCATAACCTTCTCATGTTGCTTCTGTCTATTACTTTTACCACCAGTCTGCTCAGTCACCAGAAAAACAGTTGTCAAGCATCATATATAAAAACAGATCTTATGCAAGAATTACTAATTTGAGTAATGAGGACACTCTTCGATACAATTAATAAATATTAAGGAGCCAAAATTAAGAATTCATGTCAACTTCTAGTGGTCTAAGATGGCAAAATCAGAGTAATTTCTCAGGATGAGATGCCCGGTTCTAGAAATTGGACCAAACATGAAACACCTAGTGCACGGCCATTGCCTTCTGTACGAAAACACTTGCATTATATAAGCAATAAGAAAACTGTATGCCATGATCAATTCCAACACAATTTGAATTTAACGGAACAATTTGAACAGCATAGTTAATACCAAAAACTGATTGATTATCAAACTCAAGCATAAGTATAGAAAGCAGGCATATGAAAACCACAAAATAATATATATATAAAAAAAAACAAAGATACCTTTTTGTTTTTAATAGCAGTTCTAGCCTGGTACTTCCCTGTAGCCTCTCTCCCAGCTCTCACTAATGCCAATCTTTCTTCCTTGCTCATCTTCTTCTTCACATGAGCCTATAAAGTGCAACATCAAGTGAATAAAAATCATAGAAGCACACAAAGCCAGACTAGCAAGCTAAACAAACTACAATTGGCAATGAAGTAGAAAACTTACTTCAAGCTTTGCAGGATCCAGTCGCTTAACACTCAGTTGATCAGAACTTGCAACTTTAAATCCTTGCCGAGCTAAAGCAATTTTAGCTTCCTTCTTTGCCTAGTTATAGAACATATATGTATATAATTACCAGCAGGTAATGTCTAAGAGGTTGCTATATAAAGAGAACAAATTTAGAATTAATCTTTCCTATGTATACAGGTTAAAACATATCCATTGTTTAGAAAAATTAATGTTAACTAACTATACCTTCAGTTCCTTTATCCTTTGAAAGTCTTCATTAGAAAGAATGCCATCAGTTGAGTCTAAAGAGGTTTGATTCAACTTCTCTTCAGCCAATCGTTTTAGAGCCCTAAGACTAGTGTCGGCGGCAATAAGTTTTCCATCAAAATCAGAAAACTTTCTCTTACTGGGCTTAGATTCGTTGTCTTCTTTCATGTCCCTGGTATTATAGTAATCACCTGCAAGAGAAGCCTTAGCTGTTTCATGCGCCTCAGCATCATCATCCTCTTCCATCTCCTCCTCATCACTGTCACTTTGGTCACTGTCATTTTCATCAATACTGTTATCATCATCTTCATTGACAGAGTCCTCTTGTAAATCACCATCCCCACTTCCAGAATCATCACTGTACATCTGATTTTCTTCATCATCGCTGCTTGCAACCATGTCATCATGAGCATCACTTAATCCACTGGGTTTATCAACATTATCATCATCCTCCTCCTCCCCCTCCCCCTCCCCGCAACCATGTCCGATCATGAGCACTCACACTTAATCCACTGGGTTTTATCAACATTATCTCATCCTCCTCCTCCCCTCCCCTCCCCCCCCCCCTGGAATGACTAATAACTCCCCCTCCCCCTCCCCCTCCTCCTCCTCCTCCTCATCATCCTGTAATAACTCGAGATCAGGTATATTGCTGACAACATTGACTTCTCCATATGCTTTTGGCTTTGCTTTTGGATCAATAGGACGACCTCGATCCTTCTTAACCAATAGAGAGGGACAGACCTGCAAGAAAAGAGGCAATTAATCTTTCTAAACTATTCAAGCGTATGTAAATGAATGCTGAAAGAAGGCACATGAATAATTGAATAACCCTTTCAAGTTGGTAGGCCAAATACCTCTCTAAATAAAGTCATTAGTGATCTAGCTGCAACTGAAACTGCCTTCTCATGTGATTTTTTATACAATACAAGATCTTGCAGCAAATCTTCTGTCATCAACTAGAAACCAGAAACAGAAAATTAATTATATGCCACTAGACCCCATTTAAAGAGGAATATGAATGCAACAAAAAGAATGAAACCATACAATTAAAGGACTAAATCCCAAATCAGTCTTTATAGAGAGAGAGAGAGAGAGAGAGAGAGATTATTAACAGAGAAGGTTATCTATATGAAATGATAGATTTAGTTACCAGAGGCATACGCAAACATATTTCCCTTATCACATTCAATCCAACAGCGATAGCCTGGAAGAAGCAAGTCAATTTAATGACAGGAAGTGATTTCTTGAAGACAACAAGAATAATAAAGCAAACCAAAACATTTACCTCTGTACGGGATCGATCATGTACAAATTGATTTACTATTTGTTTGAATAGCGGTTCAACTGCATCTGGAGGAACCTGGACAAACAAGGTTATTTGAATTAGCAAGACAGGAATCCTAGAAAGTCAAAATAAGAAGGCCAGAATGAGAGAGCGGTTATAAGTAAAAATAAATAAATAAAGGCAGCATTGCATATAATCAATCAAAAAGCAGAAGCGTACCATATCATGGCATGATTGGACAGCAGCAGCAAGTAAATTTGTGATATCACGTTGATGTGGCTGCACAGACCAATGCAGTATTAGGTCAGAAAAAGAGAAGAGTGAAGCCCATTATAACATTTCCATTAATTACAGTAACAAAAAAATCACATAAAATACCTGCACATATTTCTGAAGAAAAGGGTAAAAGTTCAACAACATCAAGCGGTGCAGTCCAACAGTTCGAGCAACTAATTTCAACATCATCATCTTAACCTGAGATTTGCAAAAGGCTTAATAATCAAAATAAAACTTCCATGTTTTTCTGAAATCTGAAGGCTGGCATATCATTTGCAGAAGGAGGATCTCCATTTAATTCTCCCATTCTAACATTTTCCTCACTTTTGGCTCATTTTGCTTTGTTATTTATTCACTAAAGTCCTAAGAAATACAGGGACACGTCTGTGTGCACAAATTTGTTTTCATATTGAACCCTAGATACAAGGACAGACAAAGAAAATCCAATTATCACAAATGATACTGGAAAATATGGTCCACATACCAATGCAGGATAAACAAAATCTGCCAAAAGGCAAGACAATATATAAAAAAGGTCATCACCTCAAAGCGTTCATTGCAAGTCTGAAGGCGAGAAAACAACTTCTCAGCAAATCCCTGAGAGTAAAAAATCTTAATATCTCTTTTATTATTCTACATGTAAGCTTCCATATCTATGGGTAAAAGTCAACTGTAAGATATGATAACAAGATTAGTGGGGAACCTGTGCATCTTTAAGATGATTAAGTGGTGAATAATAATTAGAACTGCTTTTTTCTGATGACAGGCGTTGCTGCCTTTTCATGCTACGGATGGCACGCTGCAGTTTTGCTTTCTTTTTCTTTTTACTGGATACTGTGCCTTTATGATGTGCCTGAAATTTAAAAGAAAACAAAAATGTTACAAACATGCCCCGAGTCATCTCCTCAAACCCTCAAGATTCTGTAAGGGTAAATGAAGAGCTGCAAAAGGGTAAGTTTCCTGTTTTTCAAATTATATAAAACAGAAAATTAATGTCTTAACTTGAGCTCCTTAAAAAATTGCAATAGAAATCAAATCGTCATCACTAAGCTGTTTAGTGCATCCACATAAGTATCAGGGTATATAAGCAACTAAGCACACTGCATTCCAACTCAGAGGATGCAACTAACCTTATAAATAGCCTCCTTACTGAGGGCAGCTTGAGAACTTTGAGGATTTGTATCATCATCACTGCTTGCAGCATCACTATCATCACTATCGTCACCCTCAATCTTCTCGTAATCTAGAAGAAATGATAGGGCAGCAATCATGATCCTGAAAAATTCGAATGCAATCAGAAATGTTAAAAAGCTGAAAAGAAAAAAGAAAGTACATGTCAACTGTCTAAACCCAAAAGGCATACCTAGATGATGAATGAAAACATGCCATACAAATAGCATTTGCTGTTCTGTCATCGAACCACACCTTTCTCCGGTGAAACTCACATAGTGTGATAAGAGATCTCTTAGCTCTTGCCTCATCCTCTTGCTATTAGAACGGGGGCAACTCCATGATATAAGCACAACAAATCCCAAAAAAAAACAAAAAAAAAAAAAAAAGAGCGGGTCGGCAAACTCCATGATATAAGCACAAACAAATCCCAAAAAAAAACAAAAAAAAAAAAAAGAGCTTGAGAAGAAAACGCCCAAAAAAGAAAAGGCGAATTAGAAACCTGTAGCATTGCAAACAGATATTCTGAAGCACCCGATTCTTTAGCTTCATTTTAAAAAAAAAAAAAAAAAAAAAAAAAAGAGCTTGAGAAGAAAAGGCAAAAAGAAAAAGGAATTAGAAACCTGTAGCATTGCAAACAAGATATTCTGAAGCACCCGATTCTTAGCTTCATTTTTGTGCTTCTTATTCATGCGTCTAATGCTATGAACAACATGAGAGAATGCCAATTTTCTCAAATTCCTATCTCCCAGAGTTTGAAGCTCCATGAACAATGCAAGTGTTTCACTGATATCAACCATCTAGCAGTTAAAAAGACTTGAATCAAATTCAATACTTCAATAAAACATACAACTGCATTTTTGGTTGCCAAGAAACCATATACAATAGAATCTAAATCCAATAATTTCCTTTGGCAGCTCCCAAAAGAATTGCTTAAAGAACCGAAGAAAAGGAAAAATACTTCATTTCATCTGAAAAAAAAAGTAGTACCTTTCGATTAAGTAAAAGAATCAAAGCTTGAGTAACATGACACCTCAGACCCGAGGGTAGGGAACGTGCAGAAGATTTGAGAAACTCGACGAGTTGACTCGGGAAATGGGCCAATTGCTTGGGGTAAAACGGCGTCACATGAGCCAAAAACATTGCTCGATCCCCAAGGTCCTTGGCGATGGTGGGGTCAGCACAAACACCAGACGAGGAGATTGAAATGAAGTTGAGAGCTGCTTGCTGTTGAAATAGCTCGAGAGCTGAGTTGAATTGGCTGTAGAGGAGGCCAAGTTCAGTCTCATAACCTTGCGGATCGATTTTCATTTTGGATTGTAGCGCAGGAAGGCTCACCTTCTCGGAACTCCGGCCAGAGGCGGAGAGCGGCTCCGACGACATGCCGGTTAGAGGATAGAGAGCGGTGGACATTTGATTTTACTACAAAAGATGAGAAGTACTTAGCTCCACAAGTACTTCCTTTGAGTACCAATAGTTGGATTTGGAATTGGGATTTACCCGTCTGTAATGCATAAGCCCTAATTAAACCCTCGATGGAGACTACATTTATACCTCACCGCACCAGACCATTCCTTTACTGTCTGTCTTCAATTTTCACCTTCAAACGACATTCCAGTTTTAGGTAGGCGCTTGTCATCTATGGGTCAGCATTCAGCTTTAAGTACGTAATGTCGTTTATGAAGAAATATTTTGGGCCTGAAGCCCACAATAACAGATATATACGATGCATCATCTTTCCAATTTAGAGCCACTTCCATTGAGCCACTGCAATGAGACTGCAACGCTTAAGCAGTAAAACGGCAATCACGGCCATGAAAAGCAGGCGCTACTGCTGCTCTCAGGTAACGTTTCTCTGTCATGCTTAGTCTTAGCTTTCTTTTCTTTGCTTTATCGACACCTTTTTTGGTTATTTATGTGGTTGCTGCCATTGAACATTGCTTGTGATATACATGGTTTGGGTTAATAGTGATGCAAAAATGACATCTTACTCGAAATCTGGAGGTTTATCCTTTCATAACTGACCTTGACAAAGCAGAATTCCTATGCATATAGGTATATCTTATTTATATAGATGAGTAGCGAGCTCAACTGCGTTTGGCAGAATAAGTTGTTAGTCATAATGATAAGATTAATTTTAATGTTAACAAGTTCTTTGTGAACAATGTTCTCCGAGGGAGCCAACTTGCAGATTTTTCCAAGTAATTGAATATAAGCTTTATGATTCGTGTAGGATCCTTCAGATTAAAATGTGTTCTTTACTGTTTGTGTAATGTGCATATCTGTATAACCTATACTTTATGGCTCGTTAAAATTTAGGATACTGTTGGTAGTTCTAAATTTGTAATTTTTTAAATTTAGGTCACAAGATAGTGTTTTCCCGTAGTGTGGATGTGTTTTTCCTTCACAGTCTATAGCTGTGTTCAAAATCGAAATCGTTGATGGAGCTATCTTTTTCCTCTGTAAAAGAAGATTTGCTGAATTTAGACTAGAAAATAATATTTCTACGCTCATTGGCAGGGTTTTTCTGAGGTCAAACTGAGTGGTGAAGAGTTGTTGTCAAACATGCTTAACAGAAAATGGATGCTGCATATTCCTGATACCAAAATTCACCAAGTAATGCTTTTGCCCCTTCAAGGACAACACACAGCAGGACTATTTGCTGATGTTTCTTTTATAAACAGATCTTGCTCCTATTTTGGAGATCGTGTGGTGGAGAAAGACAGTCAAAATCCATCCTTCTATATTGTGAGGGATGATTTGTTGCATCCCTTGGTAAATGGTAATAAAGCAAGAAAATTAGATGCATTGCTTCCACTCCTTATGGATCATTCAGTAACTGATGTGGTGAGCTTACATTCCCTTTAAATATAAGAAATTCTTGTCACAGGTGTGTTTGTGTACTAAAGTGTGGACATTTCATTTGGTTGTCCCTGTGTTATTTCTACTTCTTGTGAGCTTTTGGAAATCTCATTGATGCAAAGAGGCATAATAGTCACGGTGTTTCTGGAAAATGTTTCAATATAATGGGTTCATCCTTCTTCATGTTAAAGTTTTGGCATAAGAGATCTTGCTGATCCAAGCTTATGATTAATCTCAACTCATTCTTTTCTCATACTTGTTTCCATCTGTAGGCAATTATGACAATATTTGTTACAAGTAATTAATTTTCTATTTTAGGGGCTGTGAAGAAAAATAACATTCAACTGGGACATTTTCTAGGTTACATGTGGAGGCTGTCAAAGTGCACATGCAGCAGCTGTAGGTAGGCTATTTTTGCTATCATAATACTTAACAGTAGGACAGTTGGACTCTTATTTGAGTTTTCTCAAGCTTGCAAGTTTTAATTTGTTTGCTGAAACAGCCATGTTGCACCATGCCTGAACCAATTTACATGTGTTTTTGCAGCTGTTTCATGTGCAGAGGCAGGATTAAATTCACATTTGCTTCTGAGAGGGGAGCAACCTGAAGTCCTGACTGGCTATAACCTGATTTCAACATTACATGGAAACGTAACCTATGTTCCAAGAAATCTTTATGCCCATAGGAAGAGCATGCTGAAGAACCATGCTAATTTGGTGGCAGGAAATACTGGTCATGTTTTATGGTGTGATGATATCCTTGAGACCTTTTTCACAAACCAGACATCTAATGCTTTGAACTCAGAGCAAATGGATGGACGTACAAGCATTGAGAACCATCTAAAGAAGGTTTTGATTGTCAATGAAGGAGCTGGTGATGCTGTAGCATTACTAGGTAAATGATACACAATATTTTTGCCATAAAGCATTGTGATTGCATTTTCATTTGTGTGCTTATGATCAAATCTGACTAAGGATTTCTCCATTTTCTTTTTCTGTTGGGTCAAAATGAGATGCTATAGCATTCTGTCCATAAAGAATTTTATTTATATACTTATGATCAGGGTAAAAATTGGTCGCTAGGGCCTCAGCATGAATACATTTTCTCTGAATCTAGAACCTCGAGGTCCTAATATCAAATATAATTGGAATCTTCATGAACTACAGAACTTGATGTGTTACCCTCAGGCTCATGTATTTGGTAGTCTTCCACATAAAGATGTGAAAACACTACGTTATAATTCTGTAGTTGTCTTCAAAAATTTCTAGATTTCCTTTACGGACCAAGGTTAGTGGTATGCATTTTCTACTTGATTTTTGAATGATTTAAGTGTCCTTTTTTTTTTTTTCTAAAGAATGCTGTCTTCACAGAAGTATCACACTCTTACCAAATTGGATTTTATCATTGATCTTGTTACGAGTTAATTTTTAACAATTTCTGAAATATGGGTTTTTTTTTTGGTATAGGTGTCATTCGCCTGGTAGAGTACTTATGCCAGGATCATTTACTTGGAAAAAAGAGACCCATAAAATTGGTTGTAGATGCTGGGACTGGTACAACGGCAATTGGCTTGGGACTTGGAGCCTTATGTTTTGGGTTGGTTTCACTTTGCATTACATCCTTTTGGTTGAATTGAATAACTTTCTGAATGATTATGCAACTATGTTGGAAAATAATATGTGGGGTACTACTATGTTAAATAGCAAGTAAATGGTTTATAATGGGAAGAGAAACTCAAAATTATGTTACAAGCAAGTCCAACTTATTATGGCGCCAATTATTAAATGAATATTATTTATGAAGTTAATTAATCCTAGGGCCTAGATTTAAAATACTTTACTGATCAAATTTTTTATTGAAGCCTAGAACATACATATATATATTGTAACTATTGCTGTTGCTCCCTCAGGCTCCCTTGGGAAGTAACTGCGGTATTGCTGGTTGAAACAGTTGATGCATACAGACAAAGGGAAAAACACTTGATTTCTGAGTTCAGGACACGATTTGGTTTTCATCTCATCGATCATTGCTTAAATGAAGTCCATGGTGGAATTGTTCATTGGGTAGAGCGCAGCCATAGGAGAAAGTGAGTAACAATTTTGGTTAACATTAATGTTCTTTCAAATTTAGATTTCTCTTTCCCCCAAACCGTTCCCTCACTTAAAATCTGTTTAATCTGGTGTTCAACCTGATGAAGTATGAAAATCGTTGCTTAAGATAGATATGTTAGATATGGATTTTTTTTCTTTTACTGGGATAATCAATTATAAGATGTATTCTGTAGCTGTGGAATAACAAAAATACTGTATTTACATTTTTTCCCAAAGTTAGAAGATGCAGAAAAGGAAAAGAATTCTGAGATAAAATTAAAGAGAGGGAATTGTCAATTGCAAATTACGAGTAAACAAAAGAATTAGCTGATGGGGTTTCCTATGTAATTGGGGGAAATTATGGTTTGATATGAATGTGTCAAAATGATGAGCCCCTTTTTCCTTTTTATATGCTTTACGTAGAGATTAGGCACCTCCTTAACAATCCTTCTGTAATTTCGTATTTAGTATGAGCCATGAGGGCTATCTCTTTGCTTAAAATGCTTTCTAACGTGACCACCTTGAAGGTCATTTGTGCCGCATAGTCCTTTACTGAATTATTCATAATAAAATACAACCCTTAAGGCAAACTGGCCATAGTCTCCAAGAGGAGAATGGAGAATGTGCAGGAACTCGGCTTGCATATTTCTAAGTTTAATTAATCCTTGCTCCCTGTCAGATGGCATATGCATATAATTTAGAATATTAGACATCTACAGAGTGTAGTTTCATAGGAATTAGTTGTTTTCCGATGTGTTTCTTTCACTTATTTATTAAGATGGCTCCTCTGTCTCTCCCACAGATTTGGCAATGTATTGGAAGGAGAGCTAGAGGCGTGCCAACAAATTGCACAACAAACTGGCATTCTGGTTGATCCTGTGTATACTTTAGCTGCTTGGGAAATGACAATCCAACTGAGTAAGGAGAAAACAAAAGGGGGTGCAGAAGTGGTAATGCTTCACACAGGGGGAACTCTCGGCATTTTTGGTTTAGCACAGAGGTACAAAACTTATTTCCGTAACCTCAGAGATGGATTATCTGCTGTAAAAGTTGCAGATGATTAATGTTGTAGATCAGAAACATGGAAATTTTGGTGTAAAAAATTTCTCGTTCTTGTAATCTAAGTTGTAGCTGTGTATGTGCATGTGCTTGCGCACTTGCACATTATCTTGTAATTTGAGGACAAGAATTCTCTTGGTTTTCCTTATTAGTGCTTTAACTTGTTAGCTGATCTGTTCTTGACCTTGGGCTGGATTTTTTGTCTTTATTGTGCTTGGGCCAGTCCCAATTACTTTGGGCCGTAGCCTTTTTTTCCGAATCCAAAAATTCTCATTTTGTGCAATGAATTTGTGTACATCGAAACACCTGTTGAGTTATAAACCAAAGCTAATGTTGTGAACTTACAGTTCTATTCATTTTTCTTTCTAATAAACGTTAATCATGAACTTTAAAAAAAAAAAAAACAAAAATACTTGTGATTACTTGAAATTTTTATTGTTTAATTAATTAGTAACATTTTCTTTTTTTATTTTTTTCTTTTAATCTAGGAATGAAGCCTATAACCTAGCTTTCAACTTACCAATAAATATCATGTCATTTCAATTGATTGCCTTTACGTACCTGCCTACAATAAATTAGACAAGCACTTGCTACTTGTAACCATCTAGGGTTAGTCCAGTGATCATATTTTAGGTTTAAGCTCAATTTCCTTCAAATTTTCAGTTTCTATCTAAAAATGGATTTGTATTAGTGGTCAAATTTTGGGTTTAAACTCAATTTCCTTCTAGTGGGCTATTTTATATTATATATTTGAAATTTTTATTGTTTTAATTAATTAGTAACATTTTCTTTTTTTTATTTTTTTCTCTTTAATCTAGGAATGAAAGCCTATAAACCTAGCCTTTCAACTTACCAGATAATATCATTGTTTCATTTAATTGATTGCCTTTACGACCTGCCTACAATAAATTAGACCAAGCACTTGCCTTACTTGTAACCCATCTAGGGTTAGTCCAGTGATCAACTTTTAGGTTATAAGCTCAATTTCCTTTTCAAATTTTTTTTCAGTTTTCTATCTAAAATGCGGATTTGTATTAGTGGTCAATTTGGTTTTAAACTTCAATTTCCTTCTAGCTGGGCTATTTTTTATATTATTATATACTATATATATATATAATATAAAATTGTGTATCCAATGTGTTCGTTTTTTCTTCATTAACTGAGTGAATATCCCGTTGATTGTACTGTTGTTATGGCTTGTTAGTTGGAGGTTAGTCTGGTTAGGAATAGGAATGGGGATGACTTGATGAACAGTGCATGTTGAACAGTATAATTCTTGGAATTAGGGAACTCCCATTTGTTATATTATATATAATATAAAATTTGTTCCAATGTGTTTCTTTTTTCTTCATAACTGAGTGAATATCATGATTGTACTGTTGCTTGTTAGTTGGAGGTTTAGTGGTTAGGAATAGGAATGGGGATGACTGATGAACAGTGCATGTGACAGTAAATTCTTGGAATTAGGGAACCCATTTGTTATTATAGTATTTTATACATTGGCAATGGCAGCTTCACCAAATATATATATATATAATATAATGTTTGAACATTCTTGGTTGCAGTGTCATTTCTCAATATTAATCTAATACTAAAATAAACCATTTTGTCCCAACACAACACCAAGAAACGATTCGCCACAATAAGCACACATGTCCAAATATTTTTCAATTTCTTTTTTCTTCTTCTCCTTCTTCTTCTAACTTACAATTTGTGGTGGCTTTTGATTTTATTATTATTAATTAGTTCGGTCCAAAACAAGAAGATGGGCATGGACAGGAAGCAGAGTTCCATATAACAAGGGGAGCAATTGAGTATGGTCCCATTAAGCTTTTGTCTCCTGGCTTGTTTGTAGCTTTCTTTTTCATCTTCATTCATTGCTTTTTCTATTCTTATTTTTCTAATAATAAGCAATCAAATCCTTTTTGCTCACCCAATCATTCCAAGCTTATGTTTCGTGAAGTACTATGGAATGTATAATTTTTTTGTTTTTTTGAATTTTATATGTAAAATACTGATTTAAAATGTGATTAATAATAATTTTTATATATTTTTTAACTATTTAATAAGTATTTAATAGGTTTAATTTTATAAATTTAGATGTTTATTTGAAAAGATTTTACAAATTCAAGTACTTATCAAGTGTAATTTTTTGAAAAAAATAATAATTAGATGTAATTTAATAGTATTAGACATGTGTAAGTTGAAATGAAAGAAAAGGAATTATTGAAGAATTTGATGAGCACTAGTTTTATTTTAATGGAAGATAAGATCTTATCTCTTAGACATATATTCCACCATTTACAAAATGTGGGTCTAATTGAGGAACAACATATGGAATGTTTTATGGCTAAAAGAAGTTGTTGCAGTAAATAAATAAATAAATAAATAAATAAATAAAAAAGCAAACATCCCTTTCAATTGCTTTTTCTGCACTGAAAAGAGAGAAGCTAAAATGGCCCATGAACTCCTGTGGAGGAAATGGGGAACACAGTAACACTAACACATCCTAAACTAGGTCCCTATAATCATTATTATCCAAATTATCTTATGATTAATTCTAAAATTTAAACATGATGGAATAGTAATTCAATTATAATTCTCAAATTTTGTAAATTAATTAACAATTTACTAATCATCTTCTACCCCTCACTAAAAGGGTGATGTCCTTTCACTCTAAAGTCCCAACTTTCATTTCCTATATACGTTCTAACATATATTTTTATTTATTGTGGATTGTAATGTTTTTTTAACGTGCTTTTAAATTATTGTAACTGCTACCAATAATACAGTAATACAGAATAAAGAATTCGAAAGCAGCTTGAGTGGTATTTTTACCTATTTATGTTAGGGAAAGAGAAGTATAATATATTGTTTTATTTTTATAATTCGGATATCTAAAAATTTATAGATACAATTCAAAATAAATATATTTACTTTATTATTATCTGACCAAATAAATTGAGAGCTCACAATTATTTACATATTTTAAATATTTGAGTAACTTTTCACGAAATATTAATGTTATATAGATTAATTTTTTATAAAACGAGTATAAATGTTATATTTTCTAACACTGTAAATAATAACACGGGTCAAAATGCTAAAATCTCCTTTAAAAAAAAACTGTTGACAACGCGGCCTATAAGATGATATTTTGAAATGGAGTGGGAGACAAAACGTGTGGGCAAGTAACAATGTTACTAATAAATTACATGGATTTGAGTTAGTGGGGGCATTGGAAATCTCATGTTGGACCTCACATTAGAATCTACCACATACTTAGTAGTTTTTAGTACGTACAAAAATTAAATATTAACTATGTTTTGGGAACTTAAAAAAAAAATTATCAATTGAACATGTTTTATAAAAAGCCAGTACTGGGTTTTCTATGTCCGAGTAATACTTTATAAGATTAAATGTGAAAAATTAATATTTTAATATAAGAAAAAAAAAACAGTTAATTTTTAAAATTTTAATCAAATACTATTTTTCAACAAAGTTGAACTAATTATAATTATTTGGTTTTCATCGTAATAATAAATACATATTATTTTCTCCGTCTCAAAATTATAGTTTCAATTTCCTTTTTGAATATTTCAAAATAATATTCTCATTTGTATTTTTAGAAATATAGGAGTCTAATTAAGAATGTTCTTAAATTTTGGTTTTTGCTAAATAATATTGTTTTTACATGATATTATTCTTGGTGCTTAATGATTTATTTGTTATATTGTTATTGTTTCTTTATTTAGATGATTTTGTATTTCTTGGATTTGATTTTAATATTGTCACAATGGTTTGATTTCAAGGAGCAGCAATAATATTATGATTTTGGAAAAAAAGGAAAGAATAAATCAAAATACATTGTTTAATATAATTAAATAAAAGGGCAATTTCACATTCTCAATATTAATGAATTAATATTTTCTGTTTTGCCAAATATCATTGCCCTTATTACTACGAGACAATTTTGAAATGTGATTGATTTGTTTAAATGGAATCTATGTTTTTATTTATGAATCAAATTAATAATAATAATAATTTTTAAAAAATTATTTTTATTTTACTCTTTTTTTTTAATAATATATTAAGAAAAATAAGAGTGAAAGCAGGAGGAGATGAAAGAGTAATTGGAAGTTTTGGCACTTCCAAAAAAAGAAGAATAAATAGCAAAAAGTTTAAATGTTTGAATCCAATCCAACTATGATATTTGCCAACTCAAATTCCATTTTAACTTGATTCCAAATTGAGCAAGTCTAAGATCACTTGCCCTGTACCTTTTTCCAGTAAATTCCCACCTAAGTATTCATCAACTCTGCACCCTACACTACCTATTATAGACATCACCCCTTTTTTCCATTTTTTGACTCTTTTTCTATAGCTTCATATTTCTCTAACCACAATACATAAAACAGAAAAAAAAAAAAAAAAAACTATAGCTTCATTATTCTCTAACCACAATACATAAAACAGAGAAAAAAAAAAAAAAAAAAGCAAAACACTAATTAATAAAAAAACGTTTAATTTTTAGCATTTCATAAAAAACTATTCAGACAAATTAATAAATTAAATATTATTATAACTGGTTTAAACAGTTAATCAAAATAAACTAATTTTAAGAGATGAAATAAATGGTTCATCCGACGAATTTACTTCATTGCGTTTAAAATGAAATCTCAATCTTTTGTAAAAAAAAAAAAAAAAAAAGCAAACACTAATAATAAAAAAACGTTTAATTTTTAGCATTTCATAAAAAACTATTCAGACAATTAATAATTAAATATTATTATAACTGTTTACAGTTATCAAAATAACTAATTTTAAGAGATGAAATAAAATGTTTCCAACGATTTACTTCATGCGTTAAAATGAAATCTCAATCTTTTTTTTAAAAAAAAAAGGTGTCTAATCACTTATCTCCATATTTGTTGGTAAATGAATTTTTTTAATTATAATTATTTTAGATTTCAAATATTTATCTTTATAAATTATAGTAAATAAAATTTATTCATTCAACCATTTTGTTAATAAATATTAATAAAATTTAATTTAATGGTTGAAATGTTAATAGAATTAAAAAGGATAAAGAGAAAAAAGAAAATGTGTATCGAACGAGTAAGACAGAAAAATAATAGGGTGCACAAATAAAGTATACGAGTAGTCAAAATATCCACATGAAAAGTACTATACTCACCAGGCCCATTATTACCCTCCAGTTTTTGGCCGACCTTTTGGCTTTTGTGCTTTTGCAATATTGTACCTTCGGTCTCCCCTCTCCATTCACCGTTCCTCCACCGCCACGTGTACGGTCCAACTCCTTTCTCAACCCCATCACCGCCACCTTCCTCCTCCTCCACCACCACCCCCACGATGACCCAAATCAAATCACAATCACAGCTATAAAAAGGTCGCACTTTTCAAGAACTCGCTCAAGGGCATTATCGTCTCTCTATGTATAAAAACAGAAATGCAAAATAAATGGGAAAGGACATTTTTGGCAACTTTGGCTTGATAAGAAAGCTGAGAAGAAAAGGAAATCTATTTCTGCTTTTTCCACTCAAGACTTTCTTTCTTGAGTGAAGATACTTAGAGAGAAGCTAGCAAACAAATGTACTATTAGTTCCGCTGAGAACTTTCCCTTCATCGGAAAACTGTTTTTTCCATTCTTTATAGCGGTTTATCGAAAGACCACCACTATGGGCGAAACCGGTATTGTCCGCTTTCCGGGGAGTTTAGACCCAAGAGCCCAAGAGTTCAGACCAAGAAATAATCCTAGCAACGTTAACTTCACTCAACAAATTCCTCTCTTCGGACCGCCCCCACTGCCACCACCACCTCCCCCGCACCAGCTCTACTATCCCTACGCTCCTCAAGCTGTGCCGTTTAGTGATGGAGGAGTTGTAGGGTACCCGCAGTATCATACTAGTCCTCCAGCATACGTTAGCACCGCCCCGCCTCTCCCGCCACAGTCGGCGGCGCCAACGCGAACACTAGTGCTGAATTTGGTACCGACCGATGTAAGCGAGTCGATGATTAGGAGAGAATTAGAAGTATTTGGAGAAGTAAGAGGGGTTCAGATGGAGAGAATTTGTGATGGAATCGTAACCGTCCATTTCTACGATCTTAGACATGCAGAGCAAGCCTTAAAGGAGGTACGAGAGCAACACATGCACCAGCAAACCAGGATAAGAAATCTCTTCGCTACCTTGGAGCAAAGTCCTGGATTTCTTGGACCAGGAGAGAACTTACTTGCACCACCGCCACCAGCGGCGCGTGGACTCATTGCTGGTTGTGCAGTGTGGGCCCAATTTATTATTCCGCCATGTAACACCGTTCCAGACGGGCATAACCAAGGGACAATAGTTGTTTTCAATTTAGACCCGAATGTTTCTACTTCTTCCCTGGAAGAAATTTTCCAAGCTTTTGGTATATCACATGTCTTTTCTTTTTGGCTATGAAATTTTTGATCTTTATGCATTTTATTTTGCTTCAGTGAGACTATAGGCTTCTAAGATCTGCAAGCGTTTGATTATTACTTTTGGATGGATTTGTCAGTTTGTTCAATACGATGGGTCTCTTTCGTCCTCTTTATGTGTCTCCATAATTGATATCTTTCCAGAAGACAGGAACAAAAAACAACTTCTTCATAGTTTGATTTTGTTATTTACTGCGTGGATTTTAATTATTATTATTATATTATTTTTTTTCTTTAATTATTTTGCTCTTGGATTACAGGTTCTGTCAAGGAATTGAGGGAGACGCCATTAAAGAAGCAACAAAGATTTGTAGAGTTTTATGATATAAGAGACGCAGCTAAGGCTCTTAGAGAGATGAATGGAAAAGAAATTTATGGCAAACAAGTTGTTATTGAGTTTAGTCGCCCTGGTGGTTATAGCAGAAGGTTTTTCAATGCCTCTAAAACCACTTCCATTAATAATACAATCGCGAATGCAAAATTTTCAAGGTATGCTCCACCACAGCCTCCTCTTTCTCCACCTCCACCTCCACCTCCACCATTGCCTAGAAGATTCTCCAGCCGTTCACCTTCTAATATTCCTCCGCGAGCATTTCTTGCTCAAACACAATCCTCCTCTGCGAAGAAAATATCGAATTTTAGCAAAGGAAACCCTAACGAGAATATTAACGATAAGAGTTCAATTGAAGATTCCATGGTTTGTTTGTCAATAAGTGGCGGAGACGGAGATGGAGTTGCTGATAAAGTTAGTGATGGGTCTTCAAAGAGAAATGCAAAGAAAAGTCTGAATAAGGAGACTTGTGCTGCATCTACAAAACAGCAACATAAAAGTAGGCCATGGAAGAGCAGACAAACAAAGAAATTTGATACTCGTTTTCTAATAAATGAAGATGCTATGGTGGAATCGAATTGTAGTGATTCTAGGACCACTGTCATGATCAAGAACATACCCAACAAGTACAGGTTGGTCTCCTATATATATTTCTTTTTTCTTTTCTTTTTTCCCTCATGGTGATTTGTTTTTGAAGATTGCATACCATTTGGGATTCCTTGGTTTGAATAATTGCAGTCAGAAGTTGCTCTTGAACATGCTAGACAACCACTGCATTCACTGCAACGAGCAGATTGCCGACGGCCAGGACCAGCCCTTGTCCTCCTACGATTTTGTCTATCTCCCAATTGATTTCAAGTGATTTATTTTTCTTATTTGGCCTTTTTTTTCCCCCTTCAAGCATTGATGTGGATATGCTGTTTTCTCATTTTCTATTTTGGGTTAACTGTGATTAAAAACAGTAACAAATGCAATGTGGGATATGGGTTCGTGAACATGACTTCTCCCCAGGCAACAAGGAGACTTTACAAGGCTTTTCACCATCAGCATTGGGAGGTCTTCAATTCTAGAAAAATCTGTGAAGTCACTTACGCCAGAGTTCAGGTATATATAATTTCTTATTTTCTACAGACTTTTTAATTAGTGAGTGTTTGCATCTGAATCCCTATGGTATGGGAATATATATATTATATATATTTGAATGAAGGGATTAGAAGCTTTAAAAGAGCACTTCAAGAACTCAAAGTTCCCTTGCGAGATGGATCATTACCTGCCAGTGGTGTTTTCACCTCCGAGAGACGGAAGGCAACTGTCGGACCCTCAACCCATTGTCGGTCAAAAGCAAAACCTTCCCGTGATTCTTGGTTTTCCGATGGACCCTACTGATCTCAAAGACAAAGATACTGACCAAGAAGAAGGAGAAGATGAAGAAGACCTCAACCGCAGCAGCAGCTACAGCTAGAGCTACAGCAGCCGAAACGGCGGCGATATGGGTGATGACGACAAAGACAGTAGCAGTGACAGCCAAAAATAGAAGGAAAAATAGAGGCGATGATTCTCTCTTGGAACTGGAAAGCTTTAGCTGTGATCAACACAGCTGCACCCAATGAGGTCCTTGTTGAGCTCCGAGCCATCTTCGCTAGTTCTCTCGTATATGGATGTATAGCCCTTCCTCACCCTCTCACAGCATAGTCAAGCTTTCCTGTCAACTTCAGGTCAGCTCACCTGACCTTGGCCTGACCACCATCACCTCATTATTAACTCAACTCTCGGTGTAATCTTTGTATTTGTACTTTGAAGTTGCTAGGGTATTAGCAAAGAATTAATTACAAGTTAACTCTTTTGTTTTTCTTTGGTTATTATAAGTGTAAGACTTGTAGCATGGAAGAAGTTTAACCAAGAAGATCACTTTCTTCTTCTTTTTTTTTTTTTTTTTTTTTTTTTTTAACCCAAAAGATCACTCTTCTTCTTCCCTTTTTTTTTTTTTTTTGCTTATTTTTCAAAAATTTGATAAATAACTATAATATTATTTGAATTCTTTTTTTTTTTTTTTTGCTTATTTTTCAAATTATTGATAAATAAACTATAATATTAATTGAAATACGTATAGAGTAGAATACATGTCATCCAAATTTGAACATTGGAAGGAGAGAGAGAGAGAGAGAGGGAGAGTGAAGAGACCAATGGACTAAGAGGAGCCACCCAGCACCTGCCGTTAAATGGCGGGCAGATGGGTGGCATATAATAGACAGTATGTGTACGTCACTGTGTTCTATTATTGTTCATATACTTTTGTTTGACTGATTTTCGGTCTAGGGTCTGTTTGGGTCCTCTGATGAGTTGCAGTTACTTTTAAGCTTCAGCTTTCCTTGTTGGGCTTAGATTAGAGGGTACTGTACTAGGTCTTGCTATATATTGTTTGGCTCTACTATAACATACCAATTAGTTTTTTTGTTTCAAATAGTTTAATATATAATCAATTTATATAAGTAAAACCCAAACTGTATTAATCAACAATTTAAATTAATTTATTTCGGTCGTTTTAATTGGGTGTAGAAAAAAAATTGTGATTTAATTGGTAGATATTTTTATAATTATGTGATTGAAATTTTGGGATATAAAGACATTATTTGCATGTTTTTGTGTCAGCAAACATAGAACCGCTTTGGTTTGTTTAGGGTACAGAGATAGGCATATAGATATAGCTTGACCTTTGTTTGGTCATAAGATTGGCATAGGTGGTACTTCGTATTCGTATATATCAAAATTGAAATTTCCCTTTCGCCTATTATATGCCTCTTGTCTCTAAATTCTAAATATTGTACACATTTATTATTAACGAATTGCTCATCCCATGCCAACAAGGTATTAATTAAAATAATAAGTGAATTTTTTTTTTTTTATAAATATGAAAATATGAATATAATTTACTAAGTTGATTAATTATGGTTGAATTTGAATTTTGAGACATTTATAATATTAACGAGCTAAAATTTATTGATATGTATTTTTTAAACATTTTGCTTCATTATAATTATTGTTATTTCACCTATAATAAAAAATTTTCTCTCTCTTCCCCTTTTCTAATTTGTTATTCTGTATTATAGATTTTTTTAATTAAGATCTTGTAAAAAAAATAAAAATGGTTACTTAAGAACAATTTGACTGATTTTGAATTTAATATAGTTCAATTTTCATTTTTCTTAAGAATAATTCTTTTTTTTTTTTAATTTGATGGAATTCTTAGAATAAGTTGCACTGTTAAATTAGAGAATAATAATTATATATGCATTTAATATTTCTTTTTTACAGTTATTAAATTTAAGATGTTACGTTATAAATTTCCATTATTAGAAAAGAAAGTAAAATACAGCTAAAGCTAATATAGTAGGGCTCGGATATCTACACGTCCAGTGAAGTTGTTGGGTGGTTTGGTTATAGACCTCCAAAGAAGAAGATATCAGATGCGCGGCACGTGATTGCTGGCAGGTCAGGTTAGGATTAAGAATCCTATGCCACGTATTACAATTTCTTACAGGTGGCATTACTTGTGGCCAAAGACTCTTTTGACTTTGATCCCTATGGCCTCAGGTGCTGTGCAGACACATACAGCCTATGAACCCTAAATGCACCTTTTTTTTATTTTTTATTACTTTCTTTCACGTCATTGGACACAATTGTCTATCCACCCCTTCCTCGTTAGAGCATATCTAATGCAGTTTCAATTGAATTACTATTATTTAATTACTATATTAAAAAAATTTTTTTAAAAATAATTTTCAATGCCAATATCTATTTGATATCAAAAGAGCCTTAAGATCATCGTCCAAAGACGGATCATGTCATAAAATATATCCTGAGTTGCCTTCCTGGCTAATTCAATACACTTAGCCAATAATGAGCGGGGGGTTTGACACGTGGACCATAGGATTCCTGCCACCTAATAATATAACTTGAGCAATTCCCATGCAAAAGACAAAAATCTCCGGTTAGTTAGTCGTTACCATCCTTTACGTTATTCACAACCAAAACCTACAAACATTATCCACCAGTTATATTCTGCTTGTTGTTTGCTGTTTGCTTTCTACTATGAACTGTGAACTATGGATGTTCTTGATTTGGTTTGATTCGGTCTAAAAGTTTTATATAAACCAAATCAATGACGATGGTTTAGATCAATTTGGATGGTTTGAGCAGTTTAATTATAACGGTGATTGATCAACACCACACTTGAATTATCTCTGATTATTCTCAGTTCATAACTTGGAGGGTCATTGACATGTGACTTGTACTTAAATTAATTTGGCTACAATAAACCACATATCTTATTAATTAATATATACTTAATTAGGCATTATGCCCTTCTAATATTAAATTTAACTCTAACCATAACTAAATTAATACTATATTAAATTTTTTTTTATTATAGTTTTTAAAAGAATTAGACATCAATTAAAAAAAAAAAAAAAAGTTTTTTTATTATAGTTGTTTAAAAGAATTAGACATCAATTAAAAAAAAAAAAAATGGACTAAGATTCTCTCTTGATTAACTCTTATAAGCATGCGTGCAATTTAGAGCCGGAGTCAGGCAGTGGCGGAGTAGGGCCTCTATCCCTAGCTCTAAATTTTTCTCTAGAATTTTCTATTTTGCGTTTTTAAAAAAAAAAACAATAAAAAAAAAAAAAAAAGACTACGATTCTCTCTTGATTAACTCTTATAAGATGGTGAATTTAGAGCCGAGTCAGGAGTGGCGGAGTAGCCTCTATCCCTAGCTCTAAATTTTTTCTCTAGAATTTTCTATTTTGGTTTTTAAAAAAAACAATTTTTTTTATTTAATTGCCTTAATTTTTAAAAAACGTGTATTAAATTTGTCATTATTCAAATTAATAGATAATATTTTTTTAAAAAAAATTAATAGAAAATATTTAAAAGTGGGTGTAAAAATTACGAAAATTAGATAAATTTTACTCTGGATCTGAGTAGAGAGATAAGTGTAAAACAAAGTTGAAACGTTGGTGGATTTAGTAAACGGTCAAAGAAGATGGAAATTGTGGCATGCGTGCATGGCTAAAGCAAATTGGTTTTGAAGTAATCAAGGCCACACGGTTGGTCACTTGGACTCATCTTGTTAATTATTTATTAATCACTCTTTAATCAAATCTTTAATTGAAATCCCCGATAAAGCTCACACTTAATTTACTAATTACATGCTTTATAGTAACAAACAACTTTGGAAAAATCACTTTGTACAGCTACGTGTCTTCTTTTGGGCTCTGTATATTTTTTTTAAACAGAATTTCCAAAAAGAAAATCAAATAGCCTGTGATTGACATGGATCCAGTTATATTTTGGGCTCTGTCTAAACTATGCTTTAAGACTGACTAGTCGTTTTCAATGTTTGAAAACTCTACGACATTGTCGTTCTCTTCACTAGAAGATCATTCTCACAAAAGAAATCAACTTGCACTTGAGAGAAAGCATTGGTTTTATTTGGAATTCAAATCATTGAACTATATATAACAAAAGAGATGGCAAAGAAATCCAACTTCAACTTAATTAATACTAAAAGAGAAAGCGGTAATTAAATTTAAAAACTCTCCTTTTAGGTCCTTAAGTTATTGAGGCATATATATATATAGATAGATATAATCAAATTTAGAGTTCATCTCTGCGAGAATCGGGTGATTTCTTGTTGTCTGAGCTATTCTTGATAGGGTAAGAGGCCTCCAAAGTTATACCACACAGTCCCTCTTCTGCATCAATCCCTCTTTCCATTCTTATGTAACCATTCTCTCCCCAATCACTTCCCCATGAATTCTTCACTATCCAATACTTTGTGCCATCTAGTGTTGTGCCATATCCCACAAGTGCTACCCCATGGTTTAGCTCTGTCCCGCAATCTCCAGTGAATACTCCCTGCAACAACAAGAGAAACAAAATTTTCAGGGAATGAAAAAACTATATCATAGGGTCTGTTTGATTCAGCTGTACAGTTTCCTATTGAATAAAAAAACTTGCCTCATAATAGAATTGCATATCTTTTCCGCCTGCATCTATTGCAATAGATACTGGTTGGTTAGCAACAGCTTTCATCAATGCATTCTCGTCGTTTTCTGGCACCATTTCGTATCCATCAATTTGCACAACAGGAGCATTCATCTACAACACCAAGAAAGATATATAATCCCTTCACTTGTGCATAGAAACATATACGTACACTGAAAAAGTTGAGTTATAGATCAATATTAAACTCAGTTAACCTTGTTTGAGTCACAGGATCCATCTCTAGCAGTATAAGGATAGGTAGTCTCTGCGGTTATTCCACCAATTTTCTTAATGAACTTGAATGCCTGTTCCATTAATCCTCCATCACAGCCATGGTTGGCAGAGCTGCAATCAACCAACTCTTGCTCTGATAGAGAAACTAATTCTCCTGTTTTGATTTTGTTAATACCCTCCACTGCTGCCACACTTGAAAATGCCCAACAGCTACCTGTATAGCATAAAAATCATTGATTTTAATATTTATAAACACAAGAGTTAAGAGTGTCATTTAAAGATCTAGTGATTATAAGTTCAAAATTATTACTAAAAATACTGAAAGCTGAAATTTATGACTTGAGAAACTCACCACATTTGCCTTGATCCTTTACACCAGTGACTGCTCCTTTCTTTCTCCAATCAACGGAAGGTGGAAGATCAGTGTTGTGGTGGCTAAACCCAGTTTTCTGACGAGACCCATGTAGCATCCTGAAGTGGCTAACCTTAGAGCCTCCATAATGTTGCAAGAACTCATGATTAGTCATATCCGCAAACTTATTCAATCTCAATTTATAAGGCTTATCCTTCTGGTTAACGTTATGAATATGCTTCAAATTTTCCTTGAACACATTGTATCGCTGCTTTTTCTCTGTCAGGCTACGAGAGATTGTGTGATGGCTTCTCCACCGCTCGTACAAGTTCCAAAGACTCTCTTCCGACGCTAAGTCTGCTTCTTGGTAATCCAAACTTTCAGCTATCTTAAAAACTAGCACTAATGAAACGGCAAACAAGATTATATTTCTTGCACCCATAATATCTAAACCTACTATAAATCAAGAAAAGGGTTACCAAAGTCGGGAATTCTTGATTTTCTTTGTTGGCTTAGCAATGAAATTGCAAGGATGTGTTGAATTGTATATATAGCCATGGAGAAGAGATGAGGGTTATAGCCTTTTTGAGAGCTTTAACCAAAAATTGAGCAGAAAAAGGTTACGGCTATGCAACAGAAAGAAAACGTGACTTCAGACAATCAAAGAGAAGTGTTGGAGTATAAGTCATTAACAGATTTAAAGAAAAAGAAGAGGAGAAAAGGTGCTGCTCTTTTTGGTGGTTAGTTGTTTGTAATGGTGAAGTTAGGTCATGTTGGGTCCATTCTTGAATTAGCATGCTAATCTCGTTCCTTTTCTTAGCTTATTTGGAGAAGGTGACGAATTGGTTTCTTCTTTTGCAGAAGAAGGTGATAATTGATTATGTATATACACAACAGTGGATTCAGAAAATTTTGTTTTTGTCACTATAAAAATAACAATGAACATCCTAGTATATTTGTGGATTGATCAAAGGACAATTTTTTCTTCACTTTCATTCTCTCTTCTCCATCTACACTTCCCCTTTCATTTATTAAATATTGTAGTACATTATATTATAATATTAGTTTAATAGCTGAAACCAAATCAATTAATAAATAAATTATCAATGATTTAAGTCTTCAAAA